CTTGTGCTGAGGTTGTAGGTGATGACATTGTCGACATAGCATGAGTGGAATGGAGAGAGGACCTCCCAGAGATCCTGAGCCCACTATACCATTTTTGTACCCAGCTGAAACAGACTTGCTTCTGGCACCACCCTGTCTGTTGACGTGAGGGAAACAGTGTCATGGTCTGACCACATTGTAATAGGTTCCTCAATCAACCAAGATCTGAATTGGGGAGGGGACTGAATAACTGCCTTAAGAGCTCTGAAATTAGTGGACTATTTTTCTCAGGACCAAGAACGCTGGCACATTACAGAATTTAGACGAGCGACCCAGTCTTTGTTAGTTGCATCTTGTGGTGAAAATTACTCCTTCTATAGGCAGAAAGGACAGCTTCTGCTTTTTTCGAAGAGAGTCTAGGAGACAGAAATCCAAGATTTCCACACTTTGACCCAGAGGAGAGAATTTTCCACTGTAGCGGCCAAATCCAGATTTTGCCCAGTTGACCGCAGGTCTTGAAGATGTCCGACATCCCAGTGATCTCATTTCCTGTCCTTATGGAGGAATTTTCACTTTATTACTAATTAGACCTTTCCTTCATGAGTGCAGTAGATGCCGAGGTAACGTTTTAAGGTTAACACGAACCTCAAAAAACCCTATGTTTCCTGGAGAAGAAGAAAATACTTTAAAGTCTCCGTATCCAATCGTGTTGCTGTAGCGCTCTGCTAGCTACCTGAACATACTTAAAGGGCAACCATCCCGATTAGCAATAAGTAGCCAAACTCCCAAGTAGGTAATGCCTCGTTCCCTAAAATATGCTGTTATGGGAGAATTTTGAAGAGCAATGAAATCTCTACAATCCATATATTATGGCGTATTTTCAGAAAACTTCTTGAGGGGCCGCAATAGGGATATGTGGGAATATATCTCTGATCTATATACACCATGAAATTCCTTTCTGCAGAATCAGAGTTACAGAAGCAGAAGTTTCAATTCTGAACCTCAGGAGAGGAACCAATTAATTTATATTCATAACCGGTTTAAAGGAATGATTTGAGTATGATAACCAGGAGATTCCTGAGGAACCCAACGAACTTCATGGTTCACAGAACCATATCTCAAACTCCTTGAATCCAACAGGAACACTGTTGGATGTTTCTGTAAATAGAGTATCAGATGTTCGGAAGATTATGGATTGGGCAGATTTGAAAAGAGCAAGCGGTGCCCTCTTTAACTAGATCAGGAAACCAGTGATTGCAAGTAGGTTCTACTTAAAAGCCAGGCAAGAGGCATTAAGATATATACTGGTGCCCAAATGCATCCTGGGAATGTTAAGTGACTCCATTAAATGGCACTCCAGTCATCTACCTCAAAGGGCTGAGTCAACCCTGCAGTGGAAATGAACACGTGAACCCCCAAGAGTTGAACAAGGTCTAAACCCACTGAGCTATCCACACTTAGTATAGAAATGCAGGATTACGCCTAGAGAAAAACTGAAATGGAAAGGGAATGTATTGATCAAGAATACACATTTGGGCGATTACAGAAAACCTTAAAACGTACGAATGAATTTCGACAGCCAACAAAATAAAAAATTGTATTATGTTTCCAATGCATAATCCTGTATGTCAAAGAATCTATTCCAAAATTTAATATGACACACCTTTAATGATATCAATGCTTTATGGATGTGTTCGTGAAGCAATGACCTTGGACTTTCAGATGTTTAAAGGGTTACTCCAACCCTCGTTTACAATAAATTTTATTTTCTAATGCATCATTGGGCAATATTAACTTGACTTGTCCACCCCATTTTTATGCTAAAAACCTTGTAAAAGAAGATTAAAATAAATAAATTTACCAAGTCCCACACATAATGCCACATCACTTCTTTCCTCTCTGTGAGCCAGAAAGGGACAAGATGGAGGGGGTGTTCAAGGGAAGGGATTGTTAAAATAAAAATAGGGAAGATGTATGTTTCCCCTTGCAGGTGCGGTCCAGCGCTGCCTGCAAGGGTACCGGCTCATTAGGATTCTTTTTTATGCCCCCGGGATAAAAGTGGAAGTATCTCTGCATGTGAAATGTTTCAAACTGAAACATTGCACAAAAAAGATTCTTGCTCAGAAAGTAGAAGTGGTCACAGACATTGCAGTAACCCTTTAAGCTAAATTACCACAAAAGCACTCTGTATAATTACGCTACAGGCCCAACTTACAAATGAGGAAGTTCACCCTACCTGCAGAGGAAGGACAGCCACTCTAGCAAAAACCTTCTTGTTTTCTCTACACCTTGGGAATCTGAACCCCAGTTCTCCAGACCATAATTTGTAAAATTTCGGAGAATGTCAAATCTTTCTGTAGAGGAAATGTCCCAGTGTTGCTGCTCTTTAATCTCAGTGAAAATCCAAGGCATTACAAGTGCTCCTCTGAAATTATATAAAGTAGTTAAATAAATAAATTAATTAAAAAGCAGGCGAAGTGAATAAATATACATAGTACTAAATGAAGTGCACACATTAAATACATAAATAAATGCGTATTAATCAGTATGCAAGAACATTTCATTCTAAATGTATTTGGTAATCAGCTGCAGAAATAGTGTAGTGACGTAGCTTATTAGCAAGTGTTTCTTGATACTGTTCTAACGTGCACATAAATTAATATTGCAATATATAAGACAATTTAACATATATAAAGCTACAAATATGCACTGCGCTTGTTTTTTGTTTCATGTAAGTTTGTATTTTATGGGAATACAGACTGCATCCCTGCTTGACTATGTGCACTAATCATGTATATATATATACGATTGAGTACATATTACTGAGAAATTGCTTGTACATGTGAACGGCTGACAATATCAAAGAGACTAAATATTTGGCAGTCACAATGTTCTGAACATGGCAAGTTAAACACGCCAATGGCCATGTGTCTTCTGTATTTCTAGTTTTGCTGGAGGACCTTTTGTAAAGTAAATTACAGGTGATACTCTAAAAATTAGAATATCGTGCAAAAGTTAATTTATTTCAGTAATGCAACGTAAAAGGGGAAACTAATATATGAGATAGACGCATTACATGCAAAGCAAGATAGTTTGTAATAAGTGCGATGATTATGGTTTACAGCTCATGAAAACCCCAAATCCACAATCTCAGTAAATTAGAATATTGTGGAAAGGTGCAATATTCTAGGCTCACAGTTTCCCACTCTAATCAGCTAAGTAAGCCATAACACCTGCAAAGGGGTTCATCATTGACACTCTCCATAAGGATAGAAAGCCTCAAAAGGTAATTGCGAAGGAAGTTGGATGTTGCAAAAGTGCTGTATCAAAGCACATTAATAGAAAGTTATGTAGAAGGGAAAAGTGTGGAAGAAAAAGGTGCACAAGCAGCAGGGATGACCGAAGCCTGGAGAAGATTGTCAGGAAAAGGCCATTCAAAAGTGTTGGGGACTTTCACAAGGAGTGGAATGAGGCTGGAGTCAGAGCATCAAGAGCCACCACACACAGACGGATTTTGGACATGGGCTTCAGATGTCGTATTCCTCTTGTCAAGCCTCTCCTGAACAACAAACAACGACAGAAGCATCTTACCTGGGCTAAAGAAAAACAGACATGGTCTGTTGCTCTGTGGTCCAAAGTCCTCTTTTCTGATGAGAGCAACTTTTGCATCTCATTTGGAAACCAAGGACCTAGAGTCTGGAGGAAGAATGGAGAGACACATACTGCAAAATGCTTGAAGTCCAGTGTGAAGTTTCCACAGTCTGTGTTGATTTGGGGAGCCATGTCATCTACTGGTGTTGGTCCACTGTGCTTCATTAAGTCCAGGGTCAACACAGCCATCTACCAGGAGATTTTGGAGCACTTCATGCTTCTTTCCGCAGACAAGCTTTATGGGGATGCTGACTTCATTTTCCAGCAGGACTTGGCACCTGCCCACACTGCCAAAAGCACCAAAGCCTGGTTCAATGACCATGGGATTACTGTGCTTGATTGGCCAGCAAATTCGCCTGACCTGAACCCCATTGAGAATCTATGGGGCATTGCCAAGAGAAAGATAAGAGACATGAGAACGAACAATGCAGAAGAGCTGAAGGCCGCTATTGAAGCATCCTGGTCTTCCATAACACCTCAGCAGTGCCACAGGCTGATAGCTTCCATGCCACGCCGCATTGAGGCAGTAATTGCTGCAAAAGGGGCCCAAACCAAGTACTGAGTCCATATGCATGCTTATACTTTTCAGAGGTCCGATATTGTTCTATGTACACTCCTTGTTTTATTGATTGCATGTAATATTCAAATTTTCTGAGATTGTGGATTTGGGGTTTTCATGAGCTGTAAGCCATAATCATCGCACTTATGACAAATCACAGTTTGAACTATCTTGCTTTGCATGTTATGCATCTATTTCATACATTGGTTTCCCCTTTTACGTTGCATTACTGAAATGAATTAACTTTTGCACGATATTCAAATTTTTAGAGTATCACCTGTAATTTACTTTACAAAAGGTCCTCCAGCAAAACTAGAAATACAGAAGACACATGGCCATTGGTGTGTTCAACTTGCCATGTTCAGCACATTGTGACTGCCAAATATTTAGTCTCTTTGATATTGTCATAACTGTGACATGCCAGGAGGCAGAGCCAAGAGCATTGCATGTTGGCTTTGTTACTAATGCTGAAGCAAAGAAGCTTGTACATAGGGACGATTACAGAACAGGTGGGGTTTGGAACCAGGATAAAAACAAGGTGTGGAGTAGACAATTTCCAGCATTAAAATGCCATGTCTCCAAAAAACATCCAGATAGTTCTCAGCTGTAACAAGATAAAGTACGGTAGCTAAAATCTAGTGATAACTGAAGTGACAAAATCAATATCTAAACGTGTTATATTCCCACCTAATGAGACTGTTTGACAAACCCAACCTGAACCATGAACCATGTAGACAGTACCAATAATATGATATATCACATATATATACATACAACATTTATGACCACAGAACGCACATGTGCTATACCAGTGATTTGTGAATATGGTGCCTAATATCATATGGATGCCTAGTTTAGTTAAAACACAAAACTCAGGAAGATCTCTCCACTGCGATCCCATTTTTTCTTTTTTTACCTGGCCAGCATGATTCCTGAAACACCAGTCTGCAAAGCTCTGTTTGAATCTTCATAAGAAAGTATGTCACCATTTCCTGTTAAGGATAGCACTTGTTATACATATGGTTTACAAAGTGGGCATATGATGGCACTTCAGCTGATGGATTACCATCACTTTATACTAGTCAATTACCAGCTACACGAGTAGTTGTTAAAGAGCAGACTGGAGGAATATGTTGAACGCAGCACTCAAAATAAATCAATCTGAATTAAAATTAAAATTAAGAAAATTTGAGACTTTCTAAAGTATCAAATGCAAAAAGAATATAACCTTTCCCATCCGCACTTTAAACAGCATGGGACAGCTTTGTTATTTGCTTTTCAATATCCATTTCCAGCTTTAACATTAAACTAAATTAAACAGGCAGAGGGTGTGTTCAAGAATTTATCTGCTCAAAGGGCAAGCCATGCAAACATTACTGCAATACTACCAAATACACATAAAACATTGTTAACATTATTATTGCAAGATACCAAGGTCTACCAAAGAGGAGTCCAGCAGCCATCTGTTACGAACGCTGGTAGTTGTGGTACCTTGTTCACCTATTCCTCCTGAACTGCTGAGCCTTACTGATTATAGCTGCAGTTCGGGTTTAGTTATGAATAGTTCCAGATGAATGCTTCTTCCAAGACGGTTCTCCCCAGCCAGTAGATCGTTACCCAAACATGAGCCTAGACTTTATGAAGGGTACAAAAGGAATGAAGGTTTATTGATGCCACACTGGCTATTATGCAAGTCCCCATGCAAGGGGACCTCTCACCTAGACCTTGTTGGGCACCAGGACACAAAAGTTACAACCAATAGTATTACCTTGACAAAGTGAAACACTCCCACTGCAAACATATAATCCCCTCCTCTCTGCCTGTGAGATAATTAGGTAAGCTAAGGGATGACCCAATTATCTCCAGGCAAGAAAAAACATTTCCCCCAAAACTTGGAACAAACCCTAAAACACATGGTATCCCCATAAATGACATATCCCCTGATAGCTCTGGGAACATATTCAAAAATCACCCAGATCGGTTCAGGGGTTTTCGAAATGTATGGAAATCTCATTTTACCGACCGCACACGAAGCTCCTGCCCAAAACAGTTCCATGAATTCAGTATGTTCGGTTGGTCTATTTCGTGAAAGTCAAATAAACAAATGGAAGCATGAACAGAGCCCCCTGGCTCATAAGAGCGATTGTTCCCCTTGTTCTTGGGAACTAAACTACCGAATGGCGCTCTCCTAGCTGTTCATGAAAAGGAAGCAGGCGTTCGTATGTTTTTAGCCGACGGGAAGTAGAGGGTCCGATTTTAGTTCCAGACACTCAACGACCAAGTCCCGCTGCCTCCTTTCGTGCAAACAAGATGGCCACTTTTCTCTTCCACGTGGCGTTCAGCTATACAAACGGCGGAAACCCAGGGAGAGCGCTCAATCAACAGTTCCCTTCGTAGATAATGAGTCAGGAGGGTGGTCGGTGTTCGGTAGTTTAATCTACCGAACAAATAAAACATAAAAATAACGAGTGGCCTTACAAAATCCAAAATTAAAAAAGTCTATTTTCTTTACACCATCTTTATGTTTCAAACTAGTTGAAAGGGATCGGGATGCAATATACCCAAAATATTTGTAAAGGTGATTGCTTAATAGTTAGAAGTTCAGACAATATTGCAAACTAAGTAAAATGCAATTAAATATTATATCATATAGTAAACAGAAATTATAACTACATTATTCTAGGGGGAGGCACACAAAGAAAAAATGATTTAATGATTTAATCTCCTATGAGTTCAGACAGTGTTTGATGGTATCATTTTATATAATATTTTTTCCAGTGCCCACCAATCAGTATACAACTTTCTCTTAGCAGTCGGCTTTTGCACATTAATCTATTAGACCCATGAAGAACAATTAGGACCTAGCATTTAGCCCTTATACAAACACACAGTAGAATGTTTAGCAATTTTTCTTTTTCCATTTCCATTTCCAATTTGTTGTTTTGATCATTTGATGGCGTGCCCTCTAGTGGACTGTAAAAGACAATACAAAATTACTTTTTTTTTTTGTCCAGACATTTTTTTTTTTTTTTAACCTGGGATTACTGTAATACTTGAATGTCAAATGGTTTTATTTTAGGCCTTTTAGTAATTGCAGGGCAAAGTATAGGATTAACTTCTTAGAAACAAAGAAAACGCAAGCAAATTTTTTTTTTATTTTTTTGTGAAAAATTTAGGTTTCCATGGATGCTATAATAGTCACTGCAATTAATGCATTCTGTTGATAAAAAGGAGATGCCACATGCAGATGTAGCATCACACTAGCTTCACTGAAATCACTGACAAAATGCATTGCGCTAAGCACAGTTGTTAAAAAAAAGTTGATAAAAAAAAAAAAAAATATTACTACATTCATAAATTAACCAGTTGCCATGTTAAATGACTTGTTTTCTCTAGTCTAAGCAAAGGTTTTCTGCAAGATCTGCAATCTTTTTCTTAGTAACAAGTAATACAAGTGGTGTTTTAGTCGGTAGTACGTTATGCAATTCTGTCAACGTGACAATTTAAAATGGATTTCTTATCTTCCATATGGCATTTTAATATGAACTGCATGATTCTGTTCATAATAAAAAAAAAAGTAAAACATTTTGTAAAGATGCACAAAGAAAAATAAAGTGGACACACCACTGAAAAAAAAGGGGGATATGCGGTGGGTAGAGAAGGGAAGATGCTGTGGGGAGAGAAAAGAATTAGTTCGGACAACTGTATGAGTTCTTCTTTCTAAACTTAAAGGATCACTATAGTGTCAGGAAAACAAAGCGGTTTTCCTGACACTATAGTGCCCTGAGGGTGCCCCCACCCTCAGTGTCCCCCTCCCATGGCGCTGAAGGGGTTAAAACACCTTCAGCCACTTACCTTAATCCAGCGCTGGGCTCACTCCATGCTGGTGATCTCTCCTCCTGCCGATGTCAGCTACCGAGTGGAGAGGAATGCCAATGCGCGGCAAGTGCCGTGCGCGCGCATTCAAACAGTCCATAGGAAAGTATTTCTCAATGCTTTCCTATGGACGCTCTGCGCAATGGATGCGAAATCAGCATCCAGCGTCGCAGATGTGCCTCTAGTGGTTGTCAGGAAGACAGCCACTAGAGGTTGGCTTAACCCCTAATGTACACATAGCAGTTCCTGTGAAACTGCTATGTTTACATCTGAAGGGTTAAAACCTGAGGGACCTGGCACCCAGACCCAGACCCAGACCATCATTGAGCTGAAGCTGTCTGGGTGACTATAGTGTCCCTTTAAACCTCAATATTCAGGTTTAATTGCCGTGTTGGCACTTGGGCAAAAAAAGTTTCACCATCACTGCCTTTGATTATCTTCTTTTAAAAAATATATACATTTGAAGGATTATTCAGGGATTCCTGACAAATATCAGTGTTACAATGTAACTTCTGTTAATTTTGGAGAAAAAAAAATGCTACTTGTACTTATTGCCCTATAACTTGCAAAAATAGCTAAGAACATGTTAACATTGGGTATTTCTAAACTCAGGACAAAATGTAGAAACTATTTAGCACTGGGTGTTTTTTAGCGGTTGTAGATACGCAACAGATATTGGGGGGGGGTCAAAGTTAGAAAAAGTTTTTTTTATAGTAAATTTTTAGATATGATGAAAATAATGGTATCTTTAAAAATACCATTTAATGGTGAGAAAAACAGTATATAATATGTGTGGGTACAGTAAATGAGTAAGAGGAAAATTACAGCTAAACACAAACTGAGCCCTGTTCCTTAACGATTAGAAATGTTTTTTTAAATGGTCTGGTCCCTAAGGTGTTAAACAGCAATTGGATAAATTCTTTAAAAAACATACAGGGATATAATTTCTAATTAGTGGGGTAATAGCTGCTTGATACAAGGAGATATCTGGCTGCCATTTTGGGGTCAAGAATGATTTTTTTCCTAGTTTGTTGCAAAATTGGATGCGCTTCAGACTGTTTTCTTCCTTCTTTTGGATCAACAGCAAAAACATATGTGAGAAAGGCTGAACTTGATGGACTCAAGTCTCTTTTGAGCTATGTAACTATGGCTTGTGTTATGAATACACATTTACTTCCTCCAGCCTTACTGCAGTTGGTTTACATCTGTTAATGTAACACAGTAAATAAGACAATAGTAGATTTGTTTCTCTCAATTTACAGATAATCATACTGCTAAAATACTGATTCAATAAATCTGGGAAACCGTAGGTTCATGAATATCCCAATGGGATTTTTTATTATAAAAACAAAAACAAAAAAATCACAGCATTTCCATTTGTTCTGAAAACACCTTAAAACATGTCTGTTAACTTCTTTGTTATTTATAAGAGTTGGCTTTGTGTTTGGGTAAAAATGTGAACATCTGCGGAACAGGTCCCAGGAGCATCTCACTGTAATAAAAGAAATATATATTAGAATATATGCGGGCTTAAAAGAAAGAAAGAACAAAGATCATAAATTCAGCTTTTCTTTTCATCTTCAAAAAAATAAAAAAAATAAAAAAATTTATTTAACATTCAAGTACACCAGTCATCGGCAAAGCAGGACCTTTAGATAATATTTCATACATCCATTCTCCAGCTATTGTATACAAGATTTGTCCTTACCTCTTCCTCTAAGATTGAAACCAAACTAATACAGGATGCCCCCAAATGACATGCACAGCATGCGACTATTACAATTGTAGTGTACTTCCAACGTCATTTGAAGGCTGGACTGATAGAATGCACATACCAAAGGCCATCTCATGAGCCATAACGACAAAATAACTTAATGTAATGATTATAGGGCAAATGTTCTGTTGGCTTTCCCCCCAGTTTGTGCATTCAACAAATTATGGGGCTCTCCTGAACGGTTTGCAATGTTGTCAGCCTCACTGACACACAAAGTTCCACTAAAGCGGAAGTGGTCAAGAGACAGTGGAGTGTTAGTGGTTATGGTGCTTCTTGAATGTCCGCAGTACTTCCATGTCCAGTGTATGTCACTACCCCATGATGCTCTAGGCATGCTCAACCATGCTTCAGTATTTTCTGGAAATGCAGTAGAAGCACATAGGGACTCAGACAATCCTCCAAAATGCTATATGCACACATGGCACCATAGGGGTTGAATGATTTACATGGTATGCCTCAGTATGCAACATATGATCTAAGTTAAAATATAAAACCCACTAGGTGCATATGTGTTTCTCTGTTTGTATAAAAGCACAAGCCAAAGATAGCTTATTTAGCCTTTGATTTGTGCGGAAAACTCATGTAACAGTATCACTTTAAATACAGCTGCGTTCAGAAAACAGTACACTTCCTAAATCCACATTTACCTGATCTTGATCCAGTCAGATGCATTTTGGCTCGCCATTAGAGTCTCCATGTAATCTCTACCCAGATAGTAGGGAGGACGTTCATTGATTTTCTGGGGTACATGTTCCAGTAAACCTACTGGGATATACCTGTACATATGCAAAGAAAACAAGGAAAAGTAATACTACATTTAGATTGGTGACTCATTCACCTACATAATATAAAAGCATTTATAGCAAATATATATAAAAAAAAATCTTCAATGTGTGTTCAGTGCTTCAATTTTTTATTCTTGGTTGTAAAATTTTTAATTTGTAATGTGGTAACTAAAATGAATAGCTAGAGAAAAACTAAAATGGAAAGGGAATGCATTGATCAAGAATACACATTTGGGCGATTACAGAAAACCTTAAAATGTTAGAATTAATTTCGACAGCCAACAAAATCAAAAATTGTACTATGTTTCCAATGCATAATCCTGTAAGCACCAAAGATGTTCTATGTCAAAGAAACTATTCCAAAATTTAATATGACACACCTTTAATGATATCAGTGCTTTATGGATGTGTTCATGAAGCAATGACCTTGGACTTTCAGATGTTTAAAGGGCTACTCCAACCCTCGTTTACAATAAATTTTATTTTCTAATGCATCATTGGGCAGTATTAACTTGACTTGTCCAACCCATTTTTATGCTAAAAACCTTGTAAAAGAAGATAAAAATAAAGAAATTTACCAAGTCCCACACATAATGCAAGATGGAGGGGGTGTTCAAGGGAAGGGATTGTTAAAATAAAAATAAAATAAAAATAGGGAAGATGTATGTTTCCCCTTGCAGGTGCGGTCCAGCGCTGCCTGCAAGGGTACCGGCTCATTAGGATTCTTTTTTATGCCCCCGGGATAAAAGTGGAAGTATCTCTGCATGTGAAGTGTTTCAAGCTGAAACAATGCACAAAAAAAGATTCTTGCTCAGAAAGTAGAAGTGGTCACAGACGTTGCAGTAACCCTTTAAGCCCTTAAGGACCAAACTTATGGAATAAAAGGGAATCATGACATGTCACACAGGTCATGTGTCCTTAAGGGGTTAAGCTAAATTACCACAAAAGCACTCTGTATAATCACGCTACAGGCCCAACTTACAAATGAGGAAGTTCACCCTACCTGCAGAGGAAGGACAGCCACTCTAGCAAAAACCTTCTTGTTTTCTCTACACCTTGGGAATCTGAACCCCAGTTCTCCAGACCATAATTTGTAAAATTTCGGAGAATGTCAAATCTTTCTGTAGAGGAAATGTCCCAGTGTCGCTGCTCTTTAATCTCAGTGAAAATCCAAGGCTTTACAAGTGCTCCTCTGAAATTATATAAAGTAGTTAAATAATTAAATTAATTAAAAAGCAGGCGAAGTGAATAAATATACATAGTACTAAATTAAGTGCACACATTAAATACATAAATAAATGCGTATTAATCAGTATGCAAGAACATTTAATTCTAAATGTATTTGGTAATCAGCTGCAGAAATAGTGTAGTGACGTAGCTTATTAGCAAGTGTTTATTGATACTGTTCTAAAGTGCAAATAAATTAATATTGCAATATATAACAAAATGTTGGATATATAAAGCTACAAATATGCACAGCTCTTGTTTTTTGTTTCATGTAAGTCTGTACTTTATGGGAATACAGACTGCATCCCTGCTTGACTATGTGCACTAATCATGTATGTATATACGATTGAGTACATATTACTGAGAAATTGCTTGTACATTTGAACGGCTGACTATAATTTACTTGGTCTTTTGTCCTACACCAAAACTAGAAATACAGAAGACACATGGCCATTGGTGTGTTTAACTTGCCATGTTCAGCTCATTGTGACTGCCAAATATTTAGTCTCTTTGATATTGTCATAACTGTGACATGTCAGGAGGCAGAGCTGAGCACCTTGCATGTTGGCTTTCTTACTAATGTAATGTTGAAGCAAAGGAGCTTGTACATTTGACGACTACAAAACAGGTGGGATTTGGAACCAGGAAAATAACAAGGTGGAGAGTAGGCAATTCCAGCATTAAAATGCCATGTCTTCGAAATAAATCCAGATAGTTCCCAGCTGTAACAAGATAAAGTAGCTAAAATCTAGAGATAACTGAATTGACAAGATCGATATCTAAACGTGTTATATTCCCACCTGATGAGACTGTTTGACAAACCCAACTAAACCATGAAGACTGTACTAATATTATGAGGTATATCACATAAATATACATACAAAAAGATAAGTCCTGCGCTCACTCCTATCACTCCTGGGCGGCAGTAACGACTACAGTACACATCAGCCCCCATAGATACAGTAAAAACCAAAGAAAAAGTTACCTGCGCTCTCCTAAATCCCTATGTATATTTAAACAAATGGAGGTCATTTAGTTACTCCAATGGCCACTGGAGGGAATGCCCGCCTCCCAAAGTCAAGGCAGACCACCCTAGGGGGTTCTACACTGACCCTTCACCTTGCTATATCTATCTATATCTAGATATAGATAGATATATATACACACACACACACACATATACATACACACACACACACACACACACAACATTTATGACCACAGAATGCACATGTGCTATACCAGTGATTTGTGAATATGGTGCCTAATATCATATGGATGCCTAGTTTAGTTAAAACACAAAACTCAGGAAGATCTCTCCACTGCGATCCCATTTTTTCTTTTTTTACCTGGCCAGCATGATTCCTGAAACACCAGTCTGCAAAGCTCTGTTTGAATCTTCATAAGAAAGTATGTCACCATTTCCTGTTAAGGATAGCACTTGTTATACATATGGTTTACAAAGTGGGCATCTGATGGCACTTCAGTTGATGGATTACCACCACTTTATACTAGTCAATTACCAGCTACACGAGTAGTTGTTAAAGAGCAGACTGAAGGAATATGTTGAACGCAGCACTCAAAATAAATCAATCAGAATTAAAATTAAGAGTTTCTAAAATATCAAATGCAAAAAGAATTGAACCCTTCCTATCCGCACTTTAAGCAGCATGGGACAGCTTTGTGATTTGCTTTTCAATATCCATTTACAGCTCTAACATTAAACTAAATTAAACAGGCAGAGGGTGTGTTCAAGAATTTATCTGCTCAAAGGGCAAGCCATGCAAACATTACTGCAATACTACCAAATACACATAAACATTGTTAATATTATTATTGCAAGATACCAAGGTCTACCAAATAGGAGTCCAGCAGCCATTTTTATGTTTCAAACTAGTTTAAAGAGATCAGGATGCAATATACCCAAAATGTTTATAAAGGTGATTGAATTTTAAGCAATGTTTATTTTCCTTTTTTCATTTACATTTATAATTTGTTGTTTTGATCATTTGATGGTGTGCCCTCTCGTGGACTGTAAAAGACAATACACTGCAAGCTAAAAATTAAAATTAACTTTTTTTTGTCCAGACTTTTTTTTTTTTTAACCTGGGATTACTGTAATACTTGAATGTCAAATGGTTTTATTTTAGGCCTTTTAGTAATCTCAGGGCAAAGGATAGTATTAACTTCTTACAAACAAAGAAAAAGCAAGCAAATTTTTTTTTTCTTTTTTGGTGAAAAATGTAGGTTGCCATGGATGCTATATAGTCACTGCAATTAATGCATTCTGTTGATAAAAAGGAGATGCCACATGCAGACGTAGCGTCACACTAGCTACACTGTAATCTCTGACAAAATGCCCTGCACTAAGCACAGTTGCTGGTCAGGGCCGTCTTTAATATGGACTGGACCCTGGGCAAACATTTGCTTGGGCCCCCTGAACCCGGTCGTCCCCTCCCTGGCATGCAATCATGCCGCCCACCCCAACGCAGTGGCGGACGTAAAGTAGAGAGGGCTCTGGTGCATGAATTATTTTGGGCAAGAGGGGGCAAAAGGTAGATCCCCATCTGTCATGCAACGCCAACAATGCTTTGACAGCTGGGGCGCTACCATTTTCCTATGCATGCAGGGTTATATTTAGCACTGAGCAGTATTTGTGTGTTTGAGTGTAAGCATGTTTTTGTATGGAGTATGTTTGTGTGAATGTAGGGGTGTGTTTGTATGTGGCAGATGGCATTTAAATGCAAGTATGCATTTATGTGTAGTGTTGGTTTATGAATACACTGGTGTGTTTATATATAATTTTGTTGTTTAAAAAAAGAGGTGTGTTTATATGTAGTGTTGAAGTTTGAATGCAGGTGTGTATTTGCGTGTAGTGTTGAATGCTGAGATGTATGCACAAATACACCTGCACTGTCACAAACACACACACACACAGTGATACACATACACACACAGAAACACTTGCAGATACACAGATATACACAATCATACAGATGCAGCTATACAGACACATTTACAGACACTGACACACACACATACAGACACACAACCTGGCACACATGCAGACACACAGATGCACACACGCAGATACACTAACATACAGATACACAGACACACACAATGACAACATACAGACACACAGATACATAACCTGACAAATGCAGATACAAACACTGACACACATGCAGATACACACATTGGCTACATACAGATACATGCACAGGTATACACACTGGCACACACACACAGATACATACATACTGACAACATACAGATACACACTGACACACACACACACACACACACACAGACACTGTGACAGACATACTGACACTGTGACAGACATACATACTGACACATACACAGACATACTGACTGGCACACCGACATACATACAGACACACAAACTGACACACACAGACATACTGACATACACACAGACATACAAACTGACACACAGACATATACTGACTGACACATACATACTGACACTCACACAGACATACATACATACTGACACACACATAGACATACATACATACTGACACACACAAAGACAGACACTCTTCAGTTTCCTACCTTTGAAAGAGGCTTCCTTCCCTGGGGTCCAGTGTGCTGGATGGGGTAGTTGGGAGTTGGGGGTCTGGCTTTTCTTGCTCCCCCTCCTCACTGGATGCTGGCTCAGCAGCCTCCCGCGCGGCCCGATATCTTTGAGGTGGGAGGAAGTGATTCGCAGACATCACTTCCTCCCATGCAGCCGTTAAGCAAGGACCCGGTCGTGCTGTTAAAGGGCCACAGCGCCGACCGGACCCCTGCTGGAACATGCTCACTGGGTGGCCCTAAAGGTATGGGCCACCCGGGGGGCCCCCTAGTGCGCGGGCCCCGGTGCAGCCGCAATACTAGCACCGCGGGCCCATTAGGTAGGGAAATATTTTTAAAAAATAAATTTTTATTGCAGGCGACGGGGCCCACGGGGCAGCTGCTTTGGGCCCCCCATGAGCAACTGGGCCCAGGGCAGGTGCCCCGTTTGCCCCTCCTTAAAGACGGCCCTGTTGCTGGTAAGTTGATAAAAAATAAATATTACTACATTCATAAATTAACCAGTTGCTGTGTTAAATGACTTGTTTTCTCTAGTCTAAGCAAAGGTTTTCTGCAATCTTTTTCTTGGTAACAAGTAATACAAGTGGTGTTTTAGTCGGTAGTACGTTATGCAATTCTGTCAACGTGACAATTTAAAATGGATTTCTTATCTTCCATATGGAATTTTAACATGAACTGCATGATTTTGTTCATAATAAATAAAAAAAATAAAAAAAATAAAAAACACATTTTGTAAAGATGCACAAAGAAAAATAAAGTGGACACGCTACACCACTGAAACCTACTGGGCACATAAAAAGTAATTTTTTTGTTTTTGTTTGGTTTTGCTTAAAGTCAATCTCTAGCTCTAGTGTTTAAAGCCTATACCAGGAATAGGCAACCTTCGACACTCCAGATGTTGTGGACTACATCCCCATAATGCTGTTACACCTGTTATGCTGGCAAAGCATCAAGGGAGGTGTAGTCCAAAACATCTGGAGTGATGAAGGTTGCCTATGCCTGGCCTATACCAAGACATTAATTCATTGGTTACTCCAAGCTCCATGACCACTTCAGTACTCCCATTTGGTTTCCATTAAATATGGTGCTTGGAGTCTGCATGTGCCATGTTTCAGTTTGTAACTCCACCTGCGGCAGCGTCATTAGTCATCCTGTACCGAGAGTCCCAGACTGGCTAATGTTATATGTGTGCTTATTTCGAGTCTGTCATCAGCATACATGCCCCCCACCCGTGCTGTCTGCATCACTCCACCAGAGGATGACTGGGCTGCAGGATCAAGGGTAAGTTTATACTTTGTTTTGTTTTTTCCTTGGGAAGTTGTGGGGGGCAAGCCAGGGTTACTCTAACCAAAAACAAAATTTTATTAAGAAACTCTCTTTTAAGTAAAGTAACCCTTTGAGATCAAAGAAGTGAAACACACTGAGACTGTTCCCTTGCAAGAGATATTTAAATGAATAGAATATATCAGTCATTTTGAGTTTACAGTGTCCCGCTATATCAGCAGCCACCATTTTCATGTTTGTAAAACACACAAAACACTAGCATTATATAAGAGTATACATACCAAAGAGTGGAATTGGATTTGCTATTTTTGCACACTGATCGATGTAATCCCAATCTGCAAGCTTTGTGTAACGCTGCTCTCTAGACCTTCCATGAAGCTAGAATAAAATATTAAAGAAATAAAAGCAATCATTTAATAATATTGAAAAACATTAATATTGTTAAATGCAAATGTCATGGAGATCATTAAATGTATATTTCAGGGCTTGACAAATCCCAGGCGCCAGATCGCTTTGACGGCGGCCGTCATGGAGAATATTGGAGGTGGCTGCCCGCCCGCTCCCGGGTACATGGAGGTGGTCAGCCACCCTGAAGAGCATGGAGGAGGCGGCGGTGTGCGAGGGAGCAGTACTCTGCCTGTAGCTCCTCTCTGCTCACTCGTGCTGTCTAATGATGTCGGGAGCCGGAATATGACGTCATTCCAGCCCTGGCATCATTACAGAGCGCGAAGGAGCAGAGAGAAGCTACAGGCAGAGTACTGCTCCTTCGCACACAGGAAGAGTGCAGCCCCAATGGACCCCAGGAAAGACGCTCTCAGCTCTCCCAAAGGTAGGGAGGCTGAGTGGGTTTCAATTCAAACAAAAATGTGTGTGTGTAAGCGTGTGTGTGTGTGAGCCTGTCAGTGTCTGTATGTGAGAGCAAGAGCCTGTCAAGAAAGTGTGTGAGCGCCTGTGTGTGTGTGTGTGTGTGTGTGAGAGAGAGAGAGCGCGAGTCTGTCAGAGTGTGTGTGAGAGACTGTCAGTGTCGGTCTCTCTGTGTGTGTGAGCGCCTGTCAGAGTTTCTGTGTGCGAGTCTGTCTGTCTGTACATGCAAGCCTGTTGTCAGCGTAAGAGTGTGTGAGAGCCTGTTTAGGTACCTGGCCCCTCGGATCGCATGAGGAAGGTGTTTTTACTCACCTTTCTTCCCATTTTCCCACATCGTGCCAGTTTCGCCATGGCTGAGATGATCAATCTTTATGATCTCAGCTAAGGCAATGCTTTCCCTTAGGAAAACATTGGGAGGATTTGTGCATGCGCAGCAAATGTACCAATCTGCATCACCTCATAGAGATGCATTACATTAATCAATCTCTATGACTATCAAGCTGTAGTGGTTCTGGTGACTATAGTGTCCCTTTAAGAATTGCACTCTCTCGTTGAAAATTACTGGCTTCTAACTTTTTTAGCTGGCTCCTATATTCCAAACACATTTGTCAAGCCCTGGTATATTTTATTAGCCTCTAGGCGAAACCTAAATGTTAATTACAAAGTTAAACCACCAATCAGAAATACTAATTAATATATTTCACAAAACAGGAGTCACTTTGTGCATTATTTTGGAGGAGGCATGTTGCAATCAGAGATTTGTTATCAGAAGACTAAAACAACATTGCCTGTAATCTACCTAATATAAAAGACCATTCCGATGGATTACTGCATAATTTCCACAAAGACTAACATTGGGCAAATTTAACAGTACAAATAAAAACAATACCTGCTAAATGAAAGAAAAAAAAATAGTGGGCACTATGTGTACAATAATACATTTAACTTTGCGTAGAGATGTCTATGAAGAAATCAGTTTAACTCAATACAGCATCTCAGACGCAAGAGTTCTATATTAGAAAATACTTGATAAATCCAAATAACCGTAAAAAATAGAACTTCGCTGCAACAGTTTACAAGGCAAAAATATGATATATTAATATTCAGACTTACTGTAATCATTGAGACACCCCATTCTTTTAAGTTTGGGATTAATTTATGAGCAATATTGTGGTTTTCATGAACTCCAGTCCTGATTTTCACCGTTAGGGGAACATCAAGCACCTACAAATACAGAGAGACACATTTTCTCAGTGAAAGAATATGTACATTTCATTCAAAATGTTGCACTGCTTCTACTTTAATAATTACAAATTTTTAGTTTAGGTATATTTAGTTACAATTTCCCCACACACATTATTATTTCCAAAAGTATAGTTTGAGAGAATATTTACACTAGTCTGCATTTATTTACCTATCACTAAAAACAATTGGCTTTTCAAAATGTGTGTGTGATTATCGCAAACCTCATTCTCAGACCTGGCTATAGATAATCAAGTCAATGTTTTGATCATGTGAAATACAAACTCTCCTATTTGATATACTTACAGACTTCATTCCTTTTACAATTTGTTCAAATTTGTTAGTTCTATTCATCAATCCACAGCCACCTCCCTAGACAACAAAGATTAGAAAAAATGTGTATACATTACAAAGCTTGAAAAGATGAATCAAATAAGTGCAATAATAAGCATGTGAATAGGGAACATCTTGGAAGTGAAATGCCTGTTACAATCATGAATAATGCAACTGCAATAGAACAAAGTCTTTTGTTTTACAAGATTGTGCAAGCCTGCTGAATAGCTTGCTGTAGGGATGCTGCAGGTAGTGCAAGACAGCATCTTATGAGCATTGCAGCTTTATGCACTCTTGTCCTACTTTAAAGCAGCACCATCAACCCCCCTCTCCAAAATCAATATTTAATAAACGTAAGATCTTCATGAAATATCATATTGACTGTTGGAATTTCATAGAAAAAATCTGCATAGATATTAGCTGTATCTATGGAGGAACATGCGGTCTCGATAGACCGCAAAGCTGCGCATGCGCAAGAGTACAGCAGTAATGTCAGCTCGTGGCGGCGGTCATGAGGGACAAGTTCAAATAAATCTTACCTCCCAAATCCCACCTCCCCCTGACCACCAGCAGTAATGTCACCAACGGGGGTCTTTGCAAATTATGCAAAGTCCATAGACAATGACAGTGCCACTTTAAACAGTGCACCAGACTATGCTAACAAAGATACAAGCAATTTTCAGAAAAATATAAATGATATAAAAATGGTAGACTCAAAATTTCCACTCGCCCACTATGCAATAGCACATAGAAATTCACCCCTTGTGAATGTACCATGGGCTCTCTAGACTTGCAGTGGTGGGTAACTTTGGCAGGGTTTTTAATAATGTGAGAATTCAAAGAGAATACACAGTGAATTTAAAATTTAAGGTCAGAGAAGTATTGAAAGCATAGCTGACTTTAATTTAATTTTTTGCAGTTTGGCTATTTTGAACTTTGAATTCACCTTGAATTCTCATTTTAGTGAATAATCCTGATAGACATGTCAAGTAGACTTGCAATTATGAGCCCTACAAATGATATGAATTCCATGTTAACTTAAAAGACTTTGACAAATTATCACGTGCATATTTTTTGTTCACAGTATAGACTTGTAATATGACTTTCAAACCATAAAAAAAAAAAAAAAAGGTATTTTTCAGACTTGTATTATTAGCAAAGTTCACCCTCTACTGTGCTTAACTAAGAATTTGTTAACAGAGTTACACTCCACTGCTTCTAAAAGTTTACAAAAAATAAATAAATACATGTATGGACTGGTGCAGAAGCAATTCTTACCTTACTGTACACCAGATCTATTGGACAACCAACATTGATATCCACAAAGTCAACTTCAATGGTTCTGTTAATAAGTTCTGCGCACCTAGTCATTGTGTCGGGAAAGGCACCCTCCAGCTGAAGAAACAAAAAATGTATATTAATCAATCAATCTGTAAAAGCTCAAATACAGCTCTAAACACATTTTGAGAGGATTAAAAAGCAGACTATGGCATTATGTGTTGGAGTTGAAATGTAATCAGTGTAGTCCCATATTAATGTCCAGCAATCTAAAGTAACATAGCTCTATGACAAGAAACATTGGATTGCTTGATACAATACACAAATGACTATATAAGTAAGATATGTTCATTACTGTAAATAAAAAGGCTATTTCCAACTGTGTACAAATTGTAGAATCCTCAGCCATTTCAAAGTATGAGAAAAACAAATGTATATAACTTTACAAGTTATGCACACAGAATCTGGATTCTTAACACTCAGGGTACCCATGTATGTATAAATGGATATTTTGAAACATAATTCTGCATTTATCTACATATAAAGATGAAAAACATCCTCAGCTCATAGGGAGACTCAACATCCCATGTGTGATTGTTTATAACCACTTCAAAAGTTAGCTGAGACAAACCTGTACTCCAAAAAGATCCTCTGAGTGATGCCGCCTTAGTAATGCCCATTCAGAAGGCTGACCTTGCAAGATATTGGTGCACACTGCCATCTCTCCACAGGTAATGTCTGCTCCATAACGCTTGCATATTCTCCTGAAAGGCAGATTGCCACACTAACCGGAATAGAAATAAAATATAGATAGTATCCAGCTTACATTAGTAGAATACAAAAAGCACATGAATACGAATATAAATAGGTATTGCCTTCATAAAGACACAAAACACTAAAAAATATATTTACATTTTTAAACATAAAGCAGACATAAAATCAGGATATGTACAATGTATTTTTTTCCTAACCATTATAGACTATTTAGGAAAATGTTTTGTTAATCAGCCCCCACCAGCTTCCCTCTCCTTGTGAAAACTAGCATGCCAGAATATGGGGTTAGGAGCCCAGCAGCAGAGAAAGGTTTAGAAGGAATTAGTTTGCACAGGGTGTAGAGCCCCCTGAGCAAATACGTTAATAATTAGGTCCGTACTAATCTCAACTCTACCTTATGTTCTAGCATATATACTAACTGGAAAGACAGTGCCAAAATAATACACCTGACAGCAATCATTAAAACAGCAAGGTATAATGACAGCAATATATAAAGTTAGGGTCGTTGGCAATGATCATTAAGTAACTGATTGAAGGACAGCAGAAACTTGTATGATTGGTACTGAGAAGGATATTCATTACATACCGTTGTTAATGGTGCAAGATATAGCTTGTTTCTGAAGTCAATCTGCAAGGTGAAAAAAATATAGGTATTTTTCTGGTTTTTATTATAAAAAACACATTTTAAAACAGCTTTAACCCCTTAAAGGACCACTATAGTGCCAGGAAAACATACTCGTTTTCCTGGCACTATAGTGCCCTGAGGGTGCCTCACCCTCAGGGACCCCCTCCCGCCTGGCTCTGGAAGGGGGAAAGGGGGAAAAACTTACCTTTTTCCAGCGCTGGGCGGGGAGCTCTCCTCCTCGTCGTCGTCGGCGGCGGCGGCTGAATGCGCACGCGCGGCAAGAGCTGCGCGCGCATTCAGGCGGTCGCATAGGAAAGCATTATCAATGCTTTCCTATGGACGCTGGCGTGCTTTCACTGTGAAAATCACAGTGAGAAGCACGCAAGTGCCTCTAGCGGCTGTCAATGAGACAGCCTCTAGAGGCTTTGGGGGAAGGCTTAACCCATTGATAAACATAGCAGTTTCTCTGAAACTGCTATGTTTATAAAACAATGGGTTAACCCTAGCTGGACCTGGCACCCAGACCACTTCATTAAGCTGAAGTGGTCTGGGTGCCTAGAGTGGTCCTTTAAGGACCAAACTTCTGGAATAAAAGGGAATCATGACATGTCACACATGTCATGTGTCCTTAAGGGGTTAATGTATCCAATATTTACTATTACAGAGAAAGTAATTTCAGGTTTACAAAAAATGACAAGTTATCTTGGTGATAAAGGACTGCTGTTGCCATTATCCTTAAATAGAGGTAAGCATAACATTTTCCACCTATGACATACAAAGCAAGCCAACTTTTGTTCTGTGGCCTCCAAAGTCCATTTCAAAATTATTGGAAAACAGAATCAAAGTGCAAGGTTTCGATCTCTACTGGGATCTTTTTCAAATTTGAGTGCCTGGACCATATTACTGTATTATCATTTGAATAAGGGGTGCCAGCCCCAAGTCTGGAAGCACCAGTATCATTATAGGAGTGCAGATTCCTCCTTTTGTTCATTTGTTTCATATCAAAGTTCTTGTGGCCATGGGCATTAAGGTGCATGGTCTGCAGAAAAGGTAGACAAGCCTGATAATACTTTTGCATGCATTTTTAAAATGATTTAATATTACAAAAACTATTTTACTTTTGTGATATTTTGATAGTTTTTCATTGGAATAAAGATATGTGTGTGGTGCTCTCTATCTGTAAATGAGCAGCAATCCACCTACAAGGAATTCCCACAACCATGTGAAAAACAGTGCTGGACCACGCTGAAGTTATACAAAAAGTAATTAAAGTATATAATTACATACAGTTGATGGAAGACAATTCTATACAATGTCTTAATAAAAAAACATAATAGTGCAAATAAAGTACTTTATTTAAATTATATATATTTTGTTAAATAAAGTATTTTTTTTATTTTAAATACCCAGTCCATTTTTATATTGGCTCCCTGGACATCCGGTATATCAATAGGTGGGGTTCATTCCACCCAAGCCTGATTATACCAGATCAAGTCCATGCTCTGGGTATTGTAAGTAGGATATTTACCTACTCTATTATACCATTGGAGTTCTCTCTGTTTATATCTCCATATATATACTCCTATCTGGACCAAGACTCCTGGATCTCACCATTGTATCCCTAGACTGGGATTATACCGTCTACGCCTACAGAAATAGAGCTATATTAGCTCTAGAAAGTGTGAGTGTTCCATTGGCATTGCTAATATTATCTGCATATATTATTATGTTATTTTGTTAAGACATATTGTACAGAATTTTCTTCCATCAACTGTATGTAATTATTTACTTTTTTCATTATCTTCTGTATAACTTCAGCACGGTCCACCACCACCACCACCGTTTTTCTCTGATAGTTTTTGATATTATATATATATATATATATATATATATATATATATATATATATATATATATATATATATATATATATATATATTATAAAATATAATATAAGTATTATTATTTTTTTTTGATAAGTTATTTTTATTTATTTTTTTAAAGCTTATCCAACAATATTAAATTGACGTCCATGTTGGGAATTAAAGAAAAAAAGAAAAATTCCTGAAATCAATATTTTTTCTAAACCTGTACAATTGTATGTACAACAATATAAACATTACAAAATTTTTATGTAATTATAAAGTAAATCAGTAGTCTGTGACTTGTGCATCCTTACATTTTTACTACATTCATAGTGTGCATAACAGGCCTATTAGGCGCTGTCTAGCAGTAGAAGGTTTATAAAACAAAATGACTTACAGTTTTCTTCTCACATGGTCTGAGCTTGATGATATCTTCATCTGTGAGAGCTCCAATTGTAGAGGTTTCCTTTTTTGCACAGTCTGCAATTTGTGGAGTGGAGTCTTCCTTGATTGCAGCTGTAGAGAGCAGCGTATCCTGTTGGTCAGTTCCCACCTCAGTGTCTGTGCATTCAGATGTTACCCCACATTCCTCTACAACAGGTTTAAGTGCATTTCCCTTTCCACTCGCACCCGGTTTACTGGTTTTGTTCATATTCGTCAAATACTGGTCAGTTTTCTCAAACTTGACTTTCTTTTTCCGCAGCTGAAGTTGGAGATCTCTGTTCAGATTATTCTTTACCAAAACATTCCCTTCACACTTTTTTACAACTTCTTCGTTAATTAGATTTTCAAAATCTTTACCCAGGTGGGATTTGGCAAAACGACAGGCTGCCCCATAGTTGCATTTTCCAAGAGTCTCAAACAGATAACAGTTTGGGCCAATATCATCTGGCTTTTCTGCCATGAACTTGGACAGATCATGTGAAAATCTGCATTTCTCACCAAATGTACAGGAATTCCCTTGTCCCTATAAAAAAAAAAAAAAAAAAGGAATGTATCAGAAAATTGTTATATATATACCCCATTTTATTTGGATTTTTCGATTGCCAACTGCTTTTTAACCCCTTAAGGACACATGACATGTCATGATTCCCTTTTATTCCAGATGTTTGGTCCATAAGGGGTTAAATAGTACCGTGCATTACAGAGACTGTTTAACCCCTTAAGGACCAAACTTCTGGAATAAAAGGGAATCATGACATGTCACACATGTCATGTGTCCTTAAGGGGTTAAAGGGGCTAGCATAATTTTACTTTGCCAAGTCCCATAAAGCTCATTGTCATATAAAAGGACCATAGCGTTTAGCAACCTGTAAGATCTTTACAATTGCAGATTAGAAAACTTTTACTCCATCAAAAAAAGCATGTAATGCTCACAAAACAGACATCCCACACCTATAATGCACACAGACATGCAAAACATGCGCAGTCCATATAAACACATATAAACCTTTACAAAGCAGCCGCTGCACCCATGCAAAACACTTGCAGAATTTTCCAACATACAAAAATGTTGCTTTTAAAAAAAATTGGGACAGCACCATAAGACATCAAAGCTTTATGTCAGCACAGCGCTACCAAAAGGTTGCCTAACCTGGCCTAAAGTGTCCCTTTAAAGTTAAATTTACATAAAAATTAAAGTGATACAACTAATATGAGCTACTTATATAAACACACCTAGTTAAAAAATTACACTTTCTTTTTAAAATAGGAGCACGTAATGTAATTCATACCACATCTTCATTCTCTATCGAATACCAAAAAAAAAAAACCCTACCTGTTTAATACTGCTACACAATTTAATTTCTCCAAAGTGGGAAGGTTTCATGTGAGGTCGGCTTTTGTTTTGTCCCCTGGCTCTTTTTTTTTCTTGTCTGGCATCAGTATTTTTTTGGCTTTCTTTATCATTCCCACAGCTATCATCTGCAAGCTTAATTCTTTTTGCTTCAGGTTCCGTTGAGTCCGGAGAAGTCTCGTTATGTGCAGTTAGTTTCTCACACTTCTGTAAACCATCTTTCTTTGCAGTATCTCCATCATCAATGAATGAATGGAATTCCTCCTTAGTTGTTAAGTACCTGAATGGAAGCAAATAATATGACATTCTATTGTTACATTTTCCATGAAAAATAAGAGCTTTTGCCCAAATTGGCATTTAAGTATTTAAATAAGAGGGAAAAAAAATAGCATGTTACATTTATTTTGCTAAAACTACCCTCTCAGTCAATGCTGCAAAGGCAGTAGTAAATACACGTTATGCTTCTCTCTCACAGGGTAGACACTGCAGCATATTTTGGGAAACATGCATAACATAGTGAGCCTGCAGTACACTACCATCCAATCAGGAATTAAAGTTTATTAATGTGATTGGAGTGTGTATGTGTGTTTTAAGGCTATATGGTGTTGCCAGTGATGGAGTTGTGTTATAGATGCGGTATGGGTCTTTGTGATGTGATTCCTGGATATGGTGTGGATAACAAATGAAGACACTGCTCTATGAAAAAACTGCAAATGCGTCCTACTTTATTATGTTGGATATGGATGTATGGTGAATGGCTTTTAAACACAAAAATTAAAGGACCACTCTGCGCCCATAAAGTACTCCAGCTTCCTGAAGTGTTTAGGTCTATGGAGTAACCCATTTAAAAGTAAGTTTATAAAAGTGACTATTTCTTTGTAAAATCTGTATTTTTACCATTCCCCCTCCATTAGCTCCCATGAGATAACAGAAGTGTCGCTACTTAAAGGGGCACTGTAGGCATCCACACCACTTCAGCTCAGTGAAGTGGTCTGGGTGCCAACTCCCATCACCCTTAATCCTGAGCATGTAAATATTGCAGTTTTTATAAACTGCAATAATTACCTGCTAGGGTTAACTCCTCCTCTACTGGCTGTCTACCAGACAGCTACTAGAGGAACTTCAGGGTGCTTAAACGACCAGTCGTCATGGACCACCAACAGTCCAGGTTTTGTCATTCTCTCAATTTGAATAAAACAGGGAAATACATAAATCCTGGACTGTTGGTGGTCCAGGAGGACTGGGTTGGGGGAACACTGGTCTAAACGACGCTGAATGTCCTCACGCTGTGCTTGAAGACTTCCAGCGTCGCCAGTATCCCCATAAGAAAGCATTGAATAATGCATTCCTATGGGGAGATCCTAATACGAGCGCAGCCATTGCCGCGCATGCGCATTAGATCTCCCGCGCCGGCAGGGGAGGATCGTGAGCAGAGCTGAGCCAGCGCCGAGGGACATTGGCGCTGGACCCAGGTAAGTGACAGAAGGGGTTATTAACTCCTTCTGCACCATGGGGGTGGGCTTTGACAGAAGGGGAAGCTATAGTGCCAGGAAAATGCGTTTGTATTACTGGCACTAAAGTTTCCCTTTAAGTGCGCCTGCCTTCTCCCCAATTGCTCCTTTCCAAACCTCAGACCGGTGTCCTTCCAGACCATGGGTGCAGTAACACAAGTGCACAGGCTTCTCAATGGTTATTAACCAGTAAAGAGACTTAAAGTCTCTTTACTGGAAAACAGGGAGGGCTTGCAAAGGCTGCAGTCATAAGAACTGCAGCTTTTGCAAACTCTTTTTAGATATACCAAGAATAGCTACATGCATAAATATAGGGAAGCATGTATTCATTGAGTATAGATCCACTAAATACCATTTTTTTTTTTTTTTACTGTGGATTGTTCCTTTAAGGTGCATCACATTATTTAGCTTTCTCGTTGGCACACAAGTAATATAACAACTCCTGGAAAAAGTACATGGATTTAATCACAGCAACAACTTGTTTCTCAGTATGTTGTTTCCAGCATTTTGAGAGTCCCTTTATCTATTCTAAAACAGCATATAGCTGCATGCAGTTTTCCGATTGAAGCTCGGGACAAAGAGCGGAAATACAGAGGCAGAGCTATTGCGCACCGCTTGATGAATTTGGAGGTAAATTGTTTGTTAATGGTTTAACTCCATTCAGGAAAGCTGGCACCAAGAACCTACTCACACCATAACTTAATTAAGATGACGTTCTTATGGTGTCCACAGTACCGCTTTACATTTTAAAAATTAGATCCTAGGATTGATTACATTAATCAGGTTTTGCCATAATTACTTGGGTTTAATGGCAGCAACACCTCGATCTCTGTTTCCAGTCAACGTTTCCATCTTGCCATTTTCAGCTTTTGTAACATCCCCTTCAGACATTCTAAAATTGAGAAGAAAATAACTTAAATATATCTACATACATCAACATATCCTGGAATTTAATTTTAATCACAATATAAAAATGTATACACTAAATTGATTTATATCTACATTGACTATGGATATGAACTGGTATACTAAGTACCTCTAAATGGTCCTGGTTAAAAAAAAAACAAATCTGACGTGCATCTGGTGAATGCACAAAAACGTCTAACAGATTATAGCAGTGCTTCCCAAACCAGTCCTCAACACCCACCAGGTTTTGTCAGTATCTCCACTGGAATAAAACAGGAAAAATCATAAATCCAGGATTGTTGTTGGGCCATGAGTCAAGTTAAAACCACTGGCTCCTTATAGCATATTGAGACAAATGAATATACACATTGTAAATAAAACAAACACTATCTTTTCTCCATAACTTACTTATACAGGTGAAAGCAAGGAAAGCATAGTTGATTAACTGAATTCATGTGCTACTTTTCAAAAAATCCTACATCAATTTAGCAATTTAAATAAAACAATCTTGCGCTGACTATGTTTCCAAGGCACTAGTTCTGATATGTTAAAACAAACTCTTGTAAAAGTGAAAAACAAATCTGCAATTTCTCCACAAGATCTCCTGTACAGTACTCAAATGTTATCACATGTAAATATGACTGGAAATTGAGTTCACATGAGTATGACTAACACAGCCCTTGATTTAATATTTTTGGATAAACTGCAGAAGTCACCATCCAATTTTTGTTGATAAATTTGAAAACTTTTCTAACTTATATTTGAAAAGCTAATCCAAAAATATTACATTGTACCCATCGTCAGGTCAGGTATAATAAAGTGTGAATTCAAAGTGAATTCCAAGTGCAAGGTCAAAACAGACAAACTCTGAGGACTTTTTGACTTTTATTTCTCACTTTAGAAAATATACCTGTGTCTTGGCAAAAAATTAAAAAAAGAAAATAATCAAACTCTGCATGTGGCTAGTATCTCCATGTGATGAATCAGTGCTCCCCCCCACTTACAGGACATTTGTAAAGCTGTTTAGCAGTAAGGAGCCTGTAAACTCCAATCTTTATAGAACTACAATTCAAAGAACAGCTTGACATCCTCAAGCCTGGCAAAGCATCATGGGATTTGTAGTTCTACAACAGCTGTATATATGTATGTATATATTGTTGTAATAATGGAAACATTGGAAGAATTAGCAATACATTCCAGACACCTACAGGACTAGATGTTATATCTCTGCTATAATATTTAACTATTGCAATAGGGTGCAGCACAATAAGGGTCTCAGGGTTGGCCTGTCCCTCCATTAAATGTGTTTCTATATCATTTCATAGACAAATATTTAATTGCAGGAATCTCCACATACACTGCTATGGAGCACACTGCAGGCTCTACTCCTCACTGCACGCTGTTACTGGAAAAGGAAATAGCAACTGTGCAACAGCCTTTACAGTCCCACCACTGACTGCTCGGTAATCAACAAGACTAGAGCTTCTGGGTTCCGGCTTCTATGTGGTCCGCAGAGATGTCATGTGCTCTCACTGACCGAATATATTACACACAGCACTAACAATAGAAAAAAATAAAGGCCCACACAATACAATGGAAAATAAACAACACAAATACTTTATTCTATGTAAGACATTTATTACTATGCCATCTAAACATAACATAATATTCACTGTAACACAACCCCCCTCCACATTATTCTATATGACACACTCCTCACTATACTATGTAAAAATAGCACAATATACAATGTAACACAACCCCCCACATTGTTCTATATAACACTCCTCACTATACTATGTAAAAATAGCACAATATACAATGTAACACAACCCCCCCTCCACATTATTCTATATGACACACTCCTCACTATACTATGTAAAAATAGCACAATATACAATGTAACACAACCCCCCCCCACACATTATTCTTTATAACACTCCCTCACTATGCTATGTAAAAATAGCACAATATACAATGTAACACAACCCCCCCCCCCACATTATTCTTTATAACACTCCTCACTGTACTGTGTAAAACATAGCACAATACAGAATTTAAACACAACAAAAATATCATAATTCTATATAACACACTCCTCACTATACTATGTAAAACACAGCACATTATAAAATGTAACACAGTACCCCCCACACTCTATAATGTAACACACACCCCACCCACAGTATACAATATAACACAGTACCCCCCACACCCTCTATAATGTAACACACACCCCACCCACAGTATACAATATAACACAGTACCCCACACACACTCTATAATGTAACACACACCCCACCCACAGTATACAATATAACACAGTACCCCCCACACACTCTATAATGTAACACACACCCCACCCACAGTATACAATATAACACAGTACCCCACACACACTCTATAATGTAACACACCCCACCCACAGTATAAAATGTAACACAGACCACCCACACATACACACTCTTTAATGTAAACCCCACACCCACAGCTTAGCTTTTTAATTAACATTGATTCACTCACTGCAGAGAAATCATTACCCTATACTGTAATAGCCTCAACTCAAATTCTGTTATACAGTGAAGTTATCCAAATTTAACATGGCATTCTGAGATCATTACTCATTGTGCTACTATTTTATAGACTGAAAGTATTTGGTATTTTTGAGAATAAATACATATTTAATTTTTTTAATTGTCACATTGTTAATATAGCCAATCCTGTATAATTCTGGCTTTCTTATAAATAAAGAGCTAGACAGAAAAATAAAACTGCTGTTTTTAGATAGGTAATTTGCACAGTATTATCATAGCATGTGACGTATCACAAGACCCCTCCACCAGCCAGGAGACTGGAGGAAGCCCAGACTGTACAGCCTCCCGGAAGTCATTGGGTTTGTTAGCTATTGAGTCCTGTCTGCAGCCTTGATACAAAGTAACACTGGAAGATCTGCACTGCTACCAACCGGACTGCACAGTGACCGACCCACAGACATGGAGGGCAAGTGGCTACCACATCCAGGAGCCCAGCTCCTGCTTCTCCTGCTCAGCTTGTATATGGTATGGGCAAGCCAAACGACCTCCTCTCCTCCAGTATCACAACGTAAGGATCTGGGGCTTGGGATGGGATGGGGGGGTTACTGTATACACAAATGAAATGTAGCATCAAAATATCTGAGTGTTCTGTGAATGGCTATATAGTGTGTGTGTGTTTGTATTTATTTTTTTATTTTTTTTAGTGGAGAGAAATAGACAGCCAGGGCTGTAAGGATATTGTCTGTTTTAATACAGTGGAGATAAACCGTGATTTATGTAGAAAATGTATCAATCATTCTAAAATTTTCCTTTCCTTTTTTTTTATTTTAAATTTTTTTAACAAAAATCCATGGTCTAAATTAGAGGCTAGCTTGGTGGTGGGTACTAAATGTATCCCTTAAAGTTATGGGTGCATGTGGGATATCAGGAGTTTGTTATTAAAAGACATGTTCATAGAAGTCCAATGCAATATAACTTAATTTATGTTTGTGCTTTTATTAAAAAGAGACAGTCCAAGCATACAGCTGATTGTTGTGCTTATGGTTCCAGGTGGTTATGGATAAAGTCCCTACTATTTACTTAAAACCGTTTTAAAGTGATTTGGGAAAACATTGTCTAAATCACGATTAAACCATTTGGCGCAGCTCAACTCATTTGTTAACCCTAATTTGACCTGGCTTAACTAACCCAGTAATCCTGTGTGAATATTGCAGTTCTCAAAAGATTAACAGCAGAGATGTGGAATAGCAAAATCTTCCTAAACTCAATGCATGCTCACTAGTATAAATATCTTGGATGGATAATGAGATTGTGAAATTCCTCATTATTAATTAAAACACATTTTTTATGTGCACTATCCCTAATCTCTACGCACACTTATAAAGTGTAAGCTCATCTGTCACATCAAGGCAAACCTCTTAGGTGAGTCCTACACTAACAATTCACCTTGCTGCTTTCAGTTAAAATGCAAAAATTCTAATGAGAGGGTGTATTTTTCTAAACCTCTACACACTTATTAACCCCTAATAGGGAACACATGGAGTGGGAAGTAGCACTGTAACATTTGTAAATACAATCACAAAATTTAACCCTGCGCTCTAACTCCCAATACTCCTGGATGGCAGCAATGACTATAGTATTGGTCTTTGTTCTATGTATTGGGGCACATTAGTCAGGGCATAGGAAGGGTGTTCCTGCACTTTTTCCAAAGCAGGAACGCTGTTCCCGCTAGTGGTCCTGGAGGACCTGCCTTGCTACCTGCACAGGGGGGCCCAGCACACTCATTGTTCACTCTCCAGCTGCTCACATTCGCGAGACCCGCGGCCGTCAGAGCGTTGGCAACGCTCCGCACAGCACGCAGGCGAGTCTCACAAGAGTTAGACAGAGCTGGAGAGTGAACACAGAGTGTGCTGAGCCCCTGTGTGGTGCTCTCGCGCGCACACACACTCACTACATACACTATACACACTCTGCACTCACTACAAACACACTACATTCACTATACTTACTCTGCACTCACTACACACACTGCATTCATTATACATACTCTGCACTCACTACAAACACTACATACACTGCACTTACTACAAACACACATTCACTATACACACTCTGCACTCACTCTACACACACCCTACATTCACTCTAATTACTCTGCACTCACTACACACACTGCATTCATTATACACACTGCACTCACTACATACACTATACACAATCTGCACTTACTTCAAACACACTACATTCATTATACACACACTGCACTCACTACACACACACTACATTCACTATACTTACTCCGCACTGACTACACACACTGCATTCATTATACACACTCTGCACTCACTACAAACACACTACATTCATTATACATACTCTGCACTCACTACAAACACACTACATTCATTATACGCACACTGCATTCACTACAAACACACTACATTCATTATACGCACACTGCACTATATGCATAGGAGTGTAATTTTTTTGGGGGGGAGGGGGGAATCTTGGGTGAGTTCCCACACTTTTTTCCCCAGAACTTGACCCCTGCTGATTAGTACTAGAGTCATTGCTTGGAATCCGTGTTAATTTTGGTGGCAAATTTCAATGTAGTTTGACTACAAAGCCATTTTACTTTTAGTCTTATTTTAGTCATCTGAATTGTTTTTGTTTTAGTATACAAAATTTCCAGTAAACTTTAGTTTATCTGTCTCTTTTCCCCCTTCCCCACCACCTCTGTGTTTCTTTGTGTTTTCCCAACCTCTCTCCCAAGCCTTGTACTGTCTCTTTTCCCCTTTCCACAGCCCCTATGTTATTATTTTATTTTTGGTGGCAAATTTCAATTTAATTTTAGTCATAGTCTTTTGACTAAGTCATTGGGTTTGCCAATTTTAGTTTTAGTCAACTAAAATTGTTATTCAACAAAATTAACCCTGCTGGAAATTTAGGTGATAGTTTGAGCGCAGGGCTACATTTTGTATGTTTGTACTTTCCTCATTATGAAGACTTCAGAATAGGAAGTATAACATTGTCAGAGAATCCCCAGGTTTTTTCCAAATGTTTAAAAGTGGTTTGACAAAACAATGGAGGAACTTCACCCCCCTTGCCTACTAGCACCACAAACATTATAATAAACTGTATGGGTTATTGTTCTTGGAGAGGCACTATAATGAAGCAATTTTAATCATGCTATAAAGCCTCTCTTGTGGGATGCTAAAATTAAGATTTTTAAAATTTTCTGTAGAACAAAAACAGGGTCTCTACAAGCCATAGCCTGCACAGGGGCACCAGATATCATCACTCTTTAATACCTATAACTATTTATTGTGGTATAACAGATAAATGATAGGTTAACATGAATATACACTGACATTATTTAGCAATAAATATTTTGACATGTTTGAGGGTTTTCAATAGCTATAATATTTTGTGGTTTTGCTTCCTTAAAGGATCACTAAAGGGTCAGGAACGCAAACATGTATTCCTGTCCCTATAGTGTTAAAACCACCATCTAGCCCCCCTAGGCCCCTCATGCTTCCATAAATATAGTAAAAATCTTACTATATTCAAGCCAGAAGCTGTAACACTGCATGCTGTATGCCTAAAAAAAAAAACAAGCAGTCTACTGACATCATCAGAAGTGGTAGCCTGATCCATTCACATTGCTTCCCCATAGGATTGGCTGAGACTGACGAGGCAGATCAGGGGCAGAGCCAGCATGATTCAAACACAGCCCTGGCCAATCAGCATCTCCTCATAGAGATGAATTGAATCAATGAATTTATATGAGGAAAGTTCAGTGTCTGCATGCAGAGGGAGGAGATACAGAATGTTTGGATGCATTTTAGGCAGCCATGACCCAGGAAGGATCTCTAACAGCTATCTGAGGAGTGGCCAGTGAAGTTATCACTAGGCTGTAATGTAAACACTGCATTTCTCTGAAAAGACTGTGTTTACAGCAAAAAGCCTGAAGGCAATGATTCTACTCAACAGAACAAATTCAATACGCTGTAGTTGTTCTGGTGACTATAGTGTCCCTTTAAACCTGCACACGCTGACTTGTTATTCTATTCCTTGACAAAATATTTTGAAGAGAACTTCACGTTACAGCCTGGTTAAAAACCTCTAATATTATTTCAGTAGGTTATGAATTATGGTGTATTAAAATTGTGGGGTTTTTCACTAAACTGTGATTTGTTGGCAATTCTAAGTTAATTCAGTTTCTAAGAAACTGCAATAATTACCAATGTAGGGTTAAGGGATATGGTACATTGCAGCCAGACTACTTCAATAAGCTCACGTGGTCTGGGTGCCTACAGTGTCCCTTTAAACCATCACACAGCAGGGGGTGGCACCTAAATAGGTAGCAGGAGATTATAGTTTTAGGAATACATGTTTATATTCCTAATGCAATAGTGTTCCGTTAAGGACATCCCGATGGATAGCTACGGGCACCATAGCTACTGCAGCCTGCTAAAATGGTTATGGTGCCAGCAAGTCTCAGGCAGCATCCCGTGGTTCTGTGTTAAAGGACCACTATAGTGCCAGGAAAACATATTCGTTTTCCTGGCACTATAGTGCCCTGAGGGTGCCCCCACCCTCAAGGTCCCACTCCTGCCCGGCTCTGGAAACGGGAAAGGGGTTAAAACTTACCTTTTTCCAGCACTGGGCGGAGAGCTTTCCTCCTCCGATCCTCCTCTTCTCCTCCCCGTCGGCTGAATGCGCACGTGCGGCAAGAGCTGCTCGCGCATTCAGCCAGTCACATAGGAAAGCATTCATAATGCTTTCCTATGGACGCTGGCGTGCTCTCACTGTGAAAATCACAGTGAGAATCACGCAAGCGCCTCTAGTGGCTGTCAATGAGACAGCCACTAGAGGAAATAGGGGAAGGCTTAACCCATTGATAAACATAGCAGTTTCTCTGAAACTGCTATGTTTATGAAAAAATGGGTTAACCCTAGCTGGACCAGGCACCCAGACCACGTCATTAAGCTGAAGTGGTCTGGGTGCCTAGAGTGGTCCTTTAAACCATTTTTGACCAGTTTGGCAAATACGGTGGATTAGCTTCCACATGCGTTGCTATTTAGGTACATTCCTCACAAAGAATAAGGCAAAGTATGGCACAAAGCCATTGCTTTTTTAATCAAGATTATAAGTAAGTTCCATGTTGAACCCAATTAGCATAGGCATTGCATTGGAGTCCACTAGGAAATGCTCCGGTAGCTTTCCTATGTAAAAGGCTGCACAGAAGTCAAACTTTAATAACCGTTCATCAAATCAAGGTTGGTTTCACGGATTCTAAAGAGAATAAAGTAGGTTAACTGCCTGTATGTTGTAAAAAATAAATAAATAAAGCCATAGTTGCCAGAGGGTTAACACAACAAGTAAATACAAAAGGGGGTAGGCTTTCTATCTCAGAATCCAGTGTATTGTTTGAGGGACAGTACAGGTCTGTGTCATGTTTTCACAAACAAAACCAAACAAAGGCAGCTTTTTATATTAAGAGGGCTAGTTTCTCAATCAGTAAATGCAGTTAGAAAAATCTGTGCTTTATTTTTTTCACTTAAACTGAAACTAACAGGGGGAATAGTAGACGAGGCGTTAATGTAATTTTGTGTTTCTCTGAGATACAACCAGCCCAGTACAAGACATACAAGGAAACCATTACTATTTGCTCTGAAATATTTGTCAAATGTATACTTTGCCTTCTTGAAAAACTCTGTTGAATATTTGAACATTGGGGGATTTTCTAGGGGGGGAAGGGGGAAGCACTCTGTTTTTTTATATTTATTTATTTATTTTTACTACATTCTTTTTGTTGTTGAAATTTTGTGCCCTGGGCAACTGGCCTGCTGGGATGTGGTCAACTAAATACTTTGATATCTTTTTTTAATGGTATTTGGAAGGGATGGTTCTGCAAACACTTTTTTTTTTTTCCCCCTCAATTTAAAATGTAAAATTACAGACCAATCAATTTCCTGTAATCTAGTCTAGCTTTCTAAAATTACATTGTTTGACATTGCTTTGTCTGTGTTAAATAAAGATCACTGGAAAAAAAAGCAGGTAACCTTATTAATACCCACATATACAAAGCCAAAACAAGTTTACGTGGTTGAACATTAGTCTCTTGTAAAATATCTACCATTATTAAGACAATAAAACAATAAACAAATAAGAGAACTGAATCGAGCCAATGGCAACAGCATTTATTAATATCCCAATACTGACCCTCAGAAATTCCCTAGACTTTACTAACAGGGGTTCCTTGACTCATTTGTTTCCTTGTAACAAAACAAGTATTCAAGTGCTATCGGGATTGGCCAATGAACTCATTACGGCAAATTTACATAAACTCCTTTATTTTCTGCTTCCTTTAACCCCTTAAGGCCCAAACTTCTGGAATAAAAGGGAATCATGACATGTCACACATGTCGTGTGTCCTTAAGGGGTTAACCCCTTAAGGACACATGACGGAAATATTCCGTCATGATTCCCTTTTATTCCAGAAGTTGTGTCATTAAGGGGTTTTAAACAGACACTGTAGGCACCTTAACTTGTTCATTTCATTGCAGTGGTTAATGTGTGGAGTCCCCTGGCGCAGACCTTCCTTTTTAATGCTAGTCCCCAGCAATCCATGCCCTCTGTGCAGCTTGGGCTAATGAGGAAGCATTTAATTGAGCATCAATGGGTCGCTGCTCAATTAAACGCATTCAGCCTATCACAGTGCCATTGCAGGTAGGAATCAATATTGCTACATGGAAGTTTAACCCCTTAAGGACTGAACTGTTTTTGCGATGTTGTACATTTGCGACCAGGCCTCTTTTTACACTTTTGTGGTGTTTGTGTTTAGCTGTAATTTTCCGCTCTTTCATTTACTGTTCCTATACAAATTATATATTGTTTTTTTCAGGAGAAAAAAAGGCTTTCTTTACATACCATTCTTTATTTAATCTCATGTAATTTAATTTAAAAAAATATGATGAAAAATGTAAAAAAATACATGTTTTTTTACTTTTACTTGAAAAATATTTTACTCCTCTACAAAAGCGAATAAAAAAAAGCTGCTAACTAGATTCAAAATTTTGTCCTGAGTTTTAAAATACCCAGTGTTTACATGCTTTTTTGTTTTTTTTGTGCAAGTTATAGGGCTATAGGTACAAGTAGGATATTGCAGTTTCAAAACATAAATTTTTTTCACATTTATCAATAGTGACATTGTAACACTATTATCTGTCAAAAATCTCTGAATAACACCCCACATGTATATAAATTTTTTTAAAGTAGACAACCCAGGGTATTCAATATGGGGTATGTTTAGTCTTTTTAGTAGCCACCTAGTCGCAAACACTGGCCAAATTTAGAGTTCATATTTGTTTGTGTGTGAAAAAAGTAAAAAACTAAATTGAACGCTAATTTTGGCCAGTGTTTGTAATTACTAAAAAAGACTGGACATACCCCCATTTCCAATACCTTGGGTTGTCTTCTTTTGCAAATGGTATGCCATCATGGGGGTAATTCTCATTCCTGGGCTACCATACGCTCTCAAAGGCAACGTAACCAGCCTGGCCATTTTCAGTGTAAAAATATTTGACCCTGTAACTTTCAAAAACGCTATAAAATCTGTACATGGGGGGTACTGTTATACTCGGGAGACATTGCTGAACACAAATATTAGTGTTTCAAAACAGGAAAATGTACAGGTTTTAGGGTGTCATAGAAAGTTACAGGGTAAAATACAGTGCTAGAAAATTAAATTCTCTGAACTTTTGGCCTGGGTTGGCAGGCAGGTCCCTCAAATTGCAATTACCGTATATACTCGAGTATAAGACGAGTTTTTCGGCACATTTTTTGTGCTGAAAACCCCCCACTCGTCTTATACTTGAGTCACTGTCTGTATTATGGCAACTTACATTGCCATAATACAGACAAGGACCGCTGTGCTCATTACAAGCCCGGCGGTCCTGTTGGGGGCCAGCAGCGAGCTGTAACTTACCTTTCCTGCAGCTCCTGTCAGCTCCCTTATCCTCCGTTCTGGTCAGCTCCCTTCTCCCCCACTGTAAGTCTCGCGAGAGCTGCGGGGTCAGAGCGTTGCCATGGGTTACCGTGGCAACGCTCCGCGCAGCACTCAAACCGCAAGACTTACAGTGGAGGAGAAGGGAGCTGACCGGAATGAAGGAGAAGGGAGCTGACAGGAGCTGCAGGAAAGGTGAGTTACAGCTCGCTGCCAGCCCCCCTCCTACACAGCCCATGCCACTGGACCACCAGGGAATGAGAGCCCCCTCCCTGGCCATGTATCAAGCAGGGAGGGGGGACAAAAAAATATAAATAAAAATGTAAATAATAATATAATCATTTTTATAATATTCAAATAAAATAAAAATAATAATATTAAAAAAATAATTTAATATTAAAATAATAATAATTTAAAAAAAATAATAAAAATGCCCACCCCCCACCAAGGTTACACACTCTGCATCACATACCCACACACACACACACTGCATTCATACACATACACACACTTCATTCATACACATACACACACTTCATTCATACACACACACTGCACTCATACACACACACACTACACACACTGCATTCATACACACACACACTGCATTATATACACACACACACTGCATTCATACACACACACTCTGCATTATATACACACACTGCATTCATTATATACACAAAATAAATATTCAATTCATGTAATTTTTTTGGAATCTAATTTTATTTAGAAATTTACCAGTAGCTGCTGCATTCCCCTCCCCCCCCCTATTTTATACTCGAGTCAATAAGTTTTCCTAGTTTTTTTGGGTAAAATTAGGGGTCTCGACTTATACTCGAGCATATACGGTAATAAAATTACTTAATTATGTAAAAATATTACATAAATATGCACGTATAATTTAAATATATATGCGTATTTATATATTTGAAGTCTACGTGTATATTTATATAATTATTTATGTAATTTTGTATATGGACATATGTATATTTCGTATTATTTTTATTTATTTATATATACAATTTCATTCTAAGTGTATTTTGATATAAAGATATATTAATATCAAAATACAGTTAGAATAAAATTTCATATATATTTATAATTTTTTGTAAATTTTGATTATTTAAAAAAAAAAAAAATTAAATTACTTATTTGTATTTTATAATATATATATATATATATATATATATATATATATACAATATATACAGTTATTATATATATATACGTGTGTACTTTAATATTTGTATTTTTATATTAATATATGTATATGTTAATATAAAAATACACTTAGTATGACATATTGTGACCATGTGATCGCTCTGTTGAGCAATCACATGTCCCCAGGGGTCCTAATCCGCCATGGGGAGACTGTCTGGGCTGCAAGCAGTCTCCCCACACCGAGAGCACCGCTGATCGCTGCCGGGGGAACGATGGTGATCGGGTAAGTACATTGGACCGTTAGGACGGTTCAGGACCGTCATCGGTCGGCAACGCAAAAATGCTGATGACGGTCCTGAACCGTCCTCGGTCCTGAAGGGGTTAATGTATTTACCTTAGCCACTCCTCCAATGGGGGCGGGGCAATGGGAAGTCAGGGAATCTCATCCAGTGTAAAATGGCTCGATAATGATTTAACACTGGATGGAGAGACAGTGGCAGGGGATTCCAAGCACTATAACCACTTTAATGAAATGATTAGTGCATACAGTCTTACCGGACATGCCATTCAGACCTTAAGAAGTAATGGATCCCCGTGTAATTACATTAGACAAACCCGGGAGAGAATGAATTTATGCAAGTTTGAATGACAATTAATTTCCTCTCATACTATGTATATGTTGGATTGGTATTTCTGATGGCGTTGTTGTTGTGTATAAGTCTAATACATGAGTCAAGGAAATAAGTTTTGCCATTTTCTTTTTCATCTAATCTTGATATGTAAATTATTTGTCTAAAATTATTTGAAGCCAACCATTAAAGGTTTTGAAATCGCCGTTTAGGTCACAGGCATCTCTCTCGTTTAAATTCACATTTATTCCAGCGCCACATGGGTCTCATCACGGCTTGCCCCACACCTACTCAATCTCCTTGGCTGAGATCATCAAATTTGATGGTCTCAGCCAATCCAATGCTTTCCCCTATGAAAGCATTGGGAGGCTATTGATATGTGCGGCAAAAGCTGCACTGCGCCGCGCCAATGTCATCCACCATCTACTGCAGCTTGTGATACCTTGTGTGTTGATGAAGCCCCAGTCATTCACTTGGCAAAAAATATAAACTCTAAATGAGTATGTTCTTAGTTGCAATGTTTTGTTGAATGATTGATGACTCTACAAAGAATTGTGTAACTTGGAAGGGAAACTGGCAATCTCAGACCAAAATCCCCCAAATCAGCTGTTTTTCTAGCTCTGCTATCTTGCCTGTTTTGCAGTTCTCTTCATAATTCCTATTTTAGTGAATAACTCCTGTTATTTTATATCATATGTAATTATTAGCACCGACTCCATTTTAAGGAAGTGCCATACAGTACCCCGGGATGAATTCAAATGAACCAAAATTGGATTTTGATTACTTTATAAAATAAGAATTAAAAAAAAGTTATTTTTTTATTTTTTTTAAATGAAAAAATTGGGAAGATTTATCTAAGTGTCGCAGATTGTATTGTGCTTTTTTGCCATTTGTCTTGGCACACTTTATTAGATCTGTCAGTTTTTTTTCCTTCCTTGTTTTTTCTTTTGTGCTCTGATTATTATTGTAGAATTCATGGCATTTTTACAGCTACACAACAATCAATCCGTCTGTCACTTTTTCTGCCAGAATAGTTTTATGTTTCACATGTTTTTTCCGCCACTCTTAATGTGATGGTCTTTTTTGGAAGAAGAAATGGCAGAATTAGGGGAAACCATAGGCTAGGAATAAAAATTGTATTGCTATTACTATAGTACCTTATAGTGCCCCACCTTGCTCGCACCCTCCCCGCAGTGCAGAAAGGTTAAAAAAAAACCTAATTCACTAACCTGAGTCCAACATTGATGTCTGTCGGCGCTTGGTCAGGCTCCGCCTCCCCTCCTTTCGCCACGCCAGCCGACATTGGGGACCTACTGTACATGCACGGCTGCTAGACCGCTACTAGAGCAATTACAATTGCAGGGTTGTACTACCAGGAACAGGGCACCGAGACCACTTCAATGAGCTGAAGTGGTCTGGGTGCCTTTAGTGCCCCTTTAAGAAGAGAAAAGCCAGTACTTTTTATTCCATTTTTTTTTTAAGTCAAGTTAATGAATACAAGCCGATTGAAGACCAAAAATAACACACATTTTAGAACACCTTGATAAATCCCTCCAATGTGTTTTATCTGTGTTGCGATCTGCTGTGCTTGTTTCCTAGCCCTTCAAATGATGATTTCGTACAGTTTTTATTGAAATAAATGATGTTATGTTTGATGTCGTTGTTAATGTTTCCATTCTTGTTTCTCACACAGCCTGTAGTTTCTATTCTGGAAAGTCATGTGAGGAATGCCTAAGAAATGTTTCCGTAAGTACATATCCCAGACTGATTTATAATCTAGCGATACAGATTAGAAAATTATCCTGCCTCAAAAAAAGTCACTTTATTTTTTTTTATTTACATTGTTTCTCTTTTTACCCTTGATATTTGAATTCAAGAACTGAAAATATATTATAACGTTGTATTTCTGCATTCCAAAATAAAAGCCTTTACAAAATAAACGTAAGTGAGTTAATTTGTACGCAAATCACAAACTGCTCTGCAGTTAAAAATCGCATCAACAGCAAAATGAATGTTTTATATGTGTATATTTTACATCTATTTGTGTTTTTAGTGTATATGTCATGTTGAGTAACATTTAATCTAAAGTATATCAGTCTGAATAAATAAAATACTTTTTTGGGGGGAATTGTGAAAGCAAAATTGCTGGTTGATATATTTTATGGCACTTACATTTTTGTGATACTTTTGCAAACTATCAGAACGGCATGAATTAAAGGAGAAATGTAGGCATAAGTAAACACAATATTAAATACCCATGATTTTTAATATTGCATTTTTTTTATCTATCCTTATAGTTAACAAATACACACCTCTTTATTATGCAATTGGACGCTACAATTTTAGCTCCCTGTCAATTATTGATAGAAACGCTTTCCTCTCTACTTGGCTGTCAGCATTACAAACATAGGGAGAAAAGGAGAAATTAACCAATGTTTCTGTTTATCTTCCTGATTTGCAATGTTTGCCCTAGCTTTGCATTGTTGAAGTAGAGTGTGATGTAATTTCCTAAATCCTTAAAGAAACACTATAACAGACATGTACTTCTAATGCTATAGTGTCCTGGTCCCTAGCAGTATTATGGCCCCATTTGTCACCAAATATAATAAAGGAAAGGTTTACTTACTTTTTTACAGTGCTGCAGCTTCCTCGGTGCTGCTCACCTTGTTGTTTTCCAAATATCATTGAGAAGGCATTGGGACCTAACGCACGTGCGTATTGAGCACCGCGTACGCATTCAAACTTACCCTTAGAAAAGCACTGTATTTAATGCATTTTTATGGGATTCTGCATCACACGAACGAGTTTTATTCGTTCGGTGCAGCAGAAATGTCTCTAGTGTCATACGAGAGGTGGATTTAAATATAACAGACAGGAGGTGATCAGTGCTTAAGATTATATATACATATGATACAGATGATATTCTTAGTATATGAATCTGTAAGTACAAAGCAAGAAACAGATTATGGAGCAGTACAGTAGATGTTTGTAAAGGGAGTACAAATGGGCAAAAGTGCACACTCACACTTTTTAGAGCTGTCTCAGCTCTATTATGAAGGCCTGGATGGAATAATTCCCGTCTATGGATATAAGTGAAGGGTCTTTGGAGCTTGTTTTCAGGATGGAGTGGACACTTTTGAGAAAGCCTTTGGCGACACACGAGGACTTATTTTATCCACAGTTTATTTGTTTTTACTTACGGTGTATATAGCTGTTGTTTCCAGCTTTTTATTTAATAAACCTTCTATTTTATACATCATCACCTGTGGAGCACTTCCTTCATACAGCCCTCATCATCCTTCCGATTCCAGCACATATCCCTACGTGGGGATTGTTCCACCTCAAGTTCTTCATACCAGAGCAGGACATTGCTCTCGGTGACATAAGTAGGATATTTTCCTGCATCAATACCAATTATTTGTATATACTATACCATTGGATTTCCTATTTTGTCTTTTTTTTTAACATATATCTACTCCATCCTGAAAACAAGCTCCAAAGACACTTATATCCATAGACGGGGATTATTCCGTCCAGTTCTTCATAATAGAGCTGAGACAGCTCTCAAAACATCTACTGTACTTCACCATAATCTGTTTCTTGCTTTGTACTTATAGATTCATATACTAAGAACATCTTCTGTATCGTATGTATATATAATCTTAAGCGCTGATCACCTATCACCTCCTGTCTGCTATCTTTACTAACCACTTCACAAGGGTGCAGAGAACCCCTTATTGGTGATTTGCTGCTAATTATAGATATTGAGCACTTATACTCACCAGTTTTTCCATAGAGGTGGATTTAACTTTGCAATGTTTCTTAAGAAAATATTGTTTAACATAGTAGGGTCAAAAGGACAGGGCCACTCCACCAAGACCTCTTCATTGAGATGAAATGGTCTGGGTGACTATCTTGTCTCTTTAATATATTTTTAAAATAAAACAGAGCATCTCATGAAAAAAGGTTAACACAAGTAGGTGATTTTCAACGTTTTATTCAATAGTGTGAATTCCAGAAAAGTGACAGTTTCCCTTTAAAATCAGATATCATATCCTATGGATGTATGATTGTTCCAGCTCATCTCCACCTTTCTTGTCTGATATTTTTTCTTAGTCTAAAACTAATTTATTATACTATTGTTAGAGCTTACGTTCCCTCATTGCATATAGTAGAGTTAAACATTTTCACTCTCCATTATCTTTTAGAGATTTAATATTTAGCTCTCGCTAATAAAGAAAAAAAAAACCCTCTGCTGAATGTGCCATAGACCTTTTAGGCTTCCAGTGGTGATAAACTTTAAGGCCAGGCTAGCATCTTAGGACTTGAAGTTTTAAACCCTGATATAGTGTCCTGAAGAGAGAATACACACTTCAAAAAAGATAAATAGGAAAAGAAGGGACAAGACACTTCAAATTACATCCAGAGACATTTAATAGGACACAGAGCAACATTTTGGCTGACACAGTAACTTTCTCAATCTAGTTTAGGCTTTAATAAAGTTTGGTGAGTCAGCCAAAAAGTTAATCAGATATAATGTCACTAAGGCTTTTTCTACCTGTCTATCTTTTAACCTATATTCACACATAGTCTGAATATATGTCAACTGTGAAGTATCTTGAATTTCTTGTCTATATTGCTTTTGTTCATCAGTTGCCAAACTAATGACACAAACCACTAAAAACCATTGCTTCATGGGTTTACACTTAAAGGGTTACTTCAAGCACCACAACCACTTTGCTGATTTGAAGTGTTTATGGTGCCTGGAGTCTGTATGAACAGCGTTATGCTATGAAAAGCTGCACATAAGAAATGTAACCCCTCTGCACCCAGGTGTGTAACTCCACCTCCAGCAGCATTATTAGGGTGCCATCAGTTAGCCTGGAGTTCTGGGTTGAATAATGTCATTCTCCGCAACTTACACTGCATAGAACATCAGTCATTGGCTGAGAGCGTCCGGTTGATGCTCTCCGCCAGTGGATGGCAGCTGCTATGACTTCTGGCTTCTGTGTCTCAGGGAACATTGTATTCCGCTGGGGATCAAGTAAGGGGGCAGATCATTGCTAAACTGTTTACCCAATTACCAGGATACTACTGTGTGCTGTAGTGGTTATGATGATTGGAGTAACCCTTTAATTAATTATAGTTACAAAAATAAAACCATTTGGGGAAACATTCCAATGGAATAATAAGTTTAGTACGAAATTTAGTTTGTGATTCTGTAGCATGCACTTTTATCACATTGTATAATATTTGATGATATTTTGATATTTGATAATATTTTCATGCTACGCAAGATTTGATTTCTTATTACATGTATACTTATCATTCCGATTTAGATATATTAACCTGGCACATTTCAGTTTCCATTTCCTCAATAATTTTCATCTATACATTGTGCTAGCGAAACACTAACAAATGTATAGATAGCCGTGAAAAAGATACGTTTTATGGTCTTCCCCCACCTTGAAGAGTAAAGGCATAATATGCAAAGCCAATATCTGTCATGTAGTTAGTAGACCTGGTACTTCCTCCAGCTGTCCTCATGGCCTTCTCCAGCCCTGCTTCTTTTGCTGAATCAAATCATGAGCTGGCCATCTTGGATGAAGAACTGGATAAGCTCCTCACCCCAGCCCTGCAAGCCCTCCCAGTTCAAGTCTTCTACAATCTATGAATATTACTCTATGATAATATAAAAAAGGTCTTCCCCATCCCTAGAAGCCTTCCCAGTACCCCCCAGCACTCCTCACAAGGTGACATCAGACATCACCCTGTTCAGTCGATGTGCTGACATTGAAGCCAGTGCATCAAGGTTCAGCAGAGGAGGCGTTTAAGGCTTTGGAAAGCTGTCTTTCCCAAACAAAGGAGGAGCAGAGAGACAGGTTCACTTTAACATAACTTTTTAGTTCTGGAATGTAAAATGCAATTGCAGTGAATTTATCCTTCATGTGAGATAAGTTTACCTTTTTAAAAAAAAAAAAACTCTGTACAGGGTTATTTTCAAAAAAGTGGAAATTGTTGGGAATTCAAAGAGAATCCAAAGTAAAATTTCACATTTTTGGCCTTCAATTTTAAATTGTCTTTGAATTCCCAATAATTATCACTTTTGTAATAATAATAATAATAAAAATAAAAAAGCAATATATATGCACACTATTTGCATAGACAGAATTATTTTAATCGCCATGAATTTTTAACAATTATTTATTTATATTCACCACCCCAAAAAAAGTTAGCTTTACATCCTTTGTTTAAAAGGCCAGTATAGTCACCTGAACAACTTTAGCTTAATGAAGCAGTTTTGGTGTATATAACATGCCCCTGCAGCCTCACTGCTCAATCCTCTGCCATTTAGGAGTTAAATCCCTTTGTTTATGAACCCTAGTCACACCTCCCTACATGTGACTTGCACAGCCTTCCATAAACACTTCCTGTAAAGAGAGCCCTATTTGGGCTTTCTTTATTTCTAGTTCTGTTTAATTAAGATTTTCTTATCCCCTGCTATGTTAATAGCTTGCTAGACCCTGCAAGAGCCTCCTGTATGTGATTAAAAAGTTCAATTTAGAGATTGAGATACAATTATTTAAGGTAAATTACATCTGTTTGAAAGTGAAACCAGTTTTTTTTTTCATGCAGACTCTGTCAATCATAGCCAGGGGAGGTGTGGCTAGGAATGCACAAACAGAAACAAAGTGATTTAACTCCTAAATGACAGTGAATTGAGCAGTGAAATTGCAGGGGAATGATCTATACACTAAAACTGCTTTATTTAGCCAAAGTAATTTAGGTGACTATAATGTTCCTTTAAAATAAATGTTGTAATTTGAAATCCCAGACACAGGTGTTCAGGGGGCTGAAAAGTACCTAGCAGTGACAGGGTTAAGCAATCCAGCCATTGTTTCCAGAATGCAAGAATTCGACATACATTATTACTGTATTTTGTAACTATTGAAGATCTTTTTTATCAGGCTACATACAAATAGCATATGCGTTTGCACTGATTACTTGTGAATTTTAATTCTGTATTATTTTTCTTTCTTGCTCAGTGTCTTTGGTGTATTACAAACTACACTTGTTTGGAGTATCCTGTACATTCCATTTTGCCTCCATCTTCTGTTTGTGCCATGTCGTCTGCTAGATGGGGAGCATGCTGGAGTAAGTATAAATCTCTTTATTAGGTTAATCTTCATCCACACACGTGAGTGCATAATACACATGTCATTTTTGTCACAATGTTGTATAATGTGTACCTTTCCTGGAGATTGTCAGCGTTGCACTGTTTAAACATCTTCTCATTGCAAAGATTTTGTCCTCTGGGGTTGCAAATTGGTCAGGATCTGAGCACAACAAATGTTTATGCAAATATTCAGCATTAACATGCAAATTGGCCATATTATCATTCAAATTGCACTTGCTGAATTTAAATTGGCATCTAATACATATTTATATATTTTATTTATTTTTTGTCTTTTAAAAACCTTATCTACAGCTTCAGGCAATGGTCATAAAAAATACAAATCACTGTTTAGGTCCAGTAACCTTTAATTCTACAAATTTCATATAGCGTTAATAGGAATACATCCTTTATAACTGAGAAGGTTTGCTCAAAATTATTGTGACCTGTCATGCATACATTAGTACCAAGGAATAATAAATTACGATTTCTTTATCAGAGGAGTAAAAAAAAAAAAAAGAAAATATAGTTTTGTTTTTTTCTCCCCATTTGAGTCTTTTCTGGGCCAAACATTTTTATTTTTTTTTGATGGGAACTTTGAGAAATCAATATAAACATGCACCAGTTTACAAGGCTTGCTGTTTTATCAGCGGGTATGTAGGGAAAAATATATTTAAAGCCACCAGATGGCGCTTCAGTGCAAAAAACAAACAAACCCATAAATAAAAAATGAAATAATAAATCTTACAAACCAATATTAATACTGCATACATAAAAAGTCTACCAAACATTCTTGAACAGTGATATTTGTGTACACGATATACTCAATAGGAAAAAATAGCACCGTTACAAGTCATTTTTAATTCAAAGCCTTCTATATCCCCTTGTACAGCGCTGTGGAATTTGTTGGCGCGTTATAAATAATAATAATATAAGTAATGTAGATATCCTTATTTTATAAACAGCATCTCAAATGTCAGAGACCATTTTGTATAGGTACAAACGTGCTAACCTCAAGATCAGCTTTAATAGATTAAACGCACACTGAGCATTGCTTTTGGAGACAAATCTAAAACATGACTGGTATTTTATATTTATATCAAAGACAAAATGTAAAACAGGTAAAGTTGTAACAAAGAATAATATGATGCAAGTCACTCATGTTTTGTGGTAAAATAATTGCCCCCTCATTAGAATATCATTAAGATGTTTTTGGGTGCTGGATAAAGAAATGTTGGGTCTTTCCTATTTTCTCAACATTTTAATAATAAAACGTGAGTGAAACAAGGCAGACCACTTTGTTGAGATTAAATAGTCTGGGTGACTATAATGTCTCTTCAACTCACTTTTTGCCCTACACAGTATTCATGGGGGGCGGGGGGGAGGGAGAACATAAGAACTTCTAAAGTAAACTGTGCTGTAAGATACATTTGAAAGTGAACATTTTTTTCATGCAAGCTGTTTGATTCACAGCCACTGAAGGTGTGGCTAGGGCTACATAATAAGAAACAAAAGTAATTCAACTCCTAAATAGACTCTGCAGGGTCGTCACCAAAACTGTTTCACTAAAGGACCACTATAGTGCCCTGTGGGTGCCCCCACCCTCATGGCCTCCTCCCGCCGGGCTGAAGTTGGAGGAAGGGGTTAAACACTTACCTTTCTCCAGTGCCGGGCTCCCTCGGCGCTGGGAACTCTCCTCCTCCTTTGGACGTCATCGCCTGAATGCGCATGCGCGGCAAGAGCCGCACGCGCATTCAGTCAGTCCATAGGAAAGCATTCTCAATTCTTTCCTATGGACGCTGGCGTATTCTCACTGTGAAAATCACAGTGAGAAGTGCGGAAGCGCCTCTAGCGGCTGTCAATGAGGCAGCCACTAGAGGTTGGAGTAACCCATAGGTAAACATAGCAGTTTCTCTGAAACTGCTATGTTTACAGCAGGCAGGGTTAACCCTAGAGGGACCTGGCACCCAGACCACTTCATTGAGCTGAAGTGGTCTGGGTGCCTATAGTGGTCCTTTAAGCCAAAGTTGTTTTCATGCTTCGAGTGTTCTTTAACTGTACCCATGGCTTAGCATTTTATTTGTTGTTTATTTTACCCCATTACCATACAGTATGCCAGTTAGAGCTGAGATTTATGGTTTTAAAAAATTGAGTCTCTACTCCTCCATTTGATGCATAGTAGTTGGGAGAAGCCAAACATCATATAGCGCTCGTCCCACGAATTCCATGTTAAGGGATCTCCAGTCACATGGCCAAAAACATACTTTATGTGTAGCTTAACCTATTTAGTTCTGTGTCACTGTGGCAAAAAAAATAACATTAGCAAGTATTGCATTTTTTCCCACTGCATTCTCCATAAATGAAGCTTGTTGATTTTGGATATAGCTGTAAGATTTATAGAGAAGCAGTTAATTGGACCGTTCTCCCAGGCACAGAGCACATATGCGTGCACAGAGCAGAGGAGGGAGGCAGTGAAAGGTAGACATAGTTTTCAATTAAACCGACAAAAAAATAATTTCTACCACCATGACTGCTTCTCAAAGCAGAATTGGTCAACAAGTTTGGAGTAACCCTTTAACCAACTACAGCTTATAATGGTGCTGTCAACCAGAGAGTTAAATAAACATTTATTAATATTCTTTGGGGAAAAAAATGGAACAAGCTGTATTAATTGGACACTTTTTAAAGAACTCTATGTGAGGAAATTGAAATATTTAACCTATAATAGTGCATTGGTGCATGGCAGTAAATTAGTAAAAGGTAAAATGATGGAAAAGCCAATTGCCTGAGTTCCCTAGGGGAGTTATGTGACATTTTCGTGTGTTTGTAATCTATGCAAATAAGCCCAGCGTTCACGGTTATTAACATTTAATATCTGTCATTGCAAATTCATACTGGAGTGACAATGGCTTGCATGAATTATTCTACTTGGGAAAATGGAAAACGAACATCTTTATGAGATGGTGTAAGTAAATAGCAGCCTGAGACTTGCAATTCCCTAAGATATACACTAGGTGGAACTCTAATCACATGCTGTACTCAGTCTGCCTTCTGATTGTGATAAACGCTTTAATAGCTGCTAGATGGCTCTTTGGGACATTGCCATCTGCGAAAGCCATGTGATATTTAACATTTCAAGCCATTTGGGGTTTATTCTATGTAAATGTTATTGGCAGCTAGTATTCAACAATTACGGTTAAAGTATGCTACCCGATATAGTCACACGATGTGTACAGCGTGCTTCCCAATGAATGAATTTGCTTTATGGAATATTAATCTAATTTATAATGTACTGTTGGAGGGTTTTATGACTTGGCTAGTTTTATTTAAATTTGCAAATCATCTGAAAACAATTGCACCCAACCATTCATTTTGTAACAATTTACAATCTCAGATTCCCTTGTTTAAGGGATGTTTTTGTCCCATTGAATTAAACTCCTAAGCTTTGATGACATTTCATCCTGTACATAGATTGTACACTCAACTTGGTGTCATTATCATGATAAAGCCCATCTCCCTTTCTCCTCCAGTTCAACAGGAAGGGACGGTAATGAGCTGTAATCGGCTGCTACCCAGCTGTGCTGAAATCGACTTGCTGTAGACTTTACTGGGAGCATACTGGACAAAAAGCTAAAATAATATGACTGCAGGATTCAGTACACCCCACTGGGCCTCCACTGTTCACAGAAAATTAATTAAATTCATTACACATAAAAAAAAAAAAAAAAAATCCACGTATCTGTATACTCTTTAATACAGATACATGCATAGTATGTCTCTTATAAACAAATTCTCTACATGTTGGATTCCACATGCAGTTAAGACCGCGATGACTGCCTATGTTTTGTGGGAAATGTAACTTACAAAAACCTAATATGCTCAGGATAATCCTCACTAGGTTATGATTATTTATTTTTGGGTTCATTAAAAATATAAGATATAAGGATTTTGATAATGACCCTATAGGGGAGAAACTTTATACTACACACTTGCTGTGTGTGTGTCATGTTTGGAGTTTGACACCCTACCACCAAGGCTGTTATTTAAGAGCTTTTTTTCGAGAATAGTGCCAGAAAATGTTTTTGCGTGTGTGTATTGTATGTATCTATATCCCAAACAAGAATACATGCTAAAAAAAATCACTATTTACTAGATATACCTGAGATGAAAACATGCATGTATTTTATTATGCTTTTTTCCCCATTGGCGGTATATCTAAAAACAGCTAGCAAAAGCTACAGATCTGTTATCTGCAATCTTCGCAAACCCTCTTCTTCTAACCCAGCCCAGACTTTGCCAGATAGGTGCCCTGAGCAATTGCCTGTATCTCAACCAGATAGTAACAGGACCAGTTGTCCTGATTGACAGCCAGAGGGCGCTAAGCAGATTAATTTATAAATGTGCCAATTTCTATTTTAAAATCAGCATTTTATGTTTTTTTTAAGGGACAGCTCATTGAAGTGGGATGGGTGCTGTGTCATTTAATTATTGCAGTTATAGATTAACTGCAATAATTAACTTGCAGGGTTAACTCTACCTCTAGTGTCTGTCTTGTGGTCAGACGACTTTTGGTCCATTTAATGACGCTGGACGTCCTCACGCTTGCATGAGGACATTCAGCATCATTTAAAACCCCATAGGAATGCACTGAGCATTTCACCAGGTAAGTGTAAGGTGTAAGGGGTGTACCCCTGTAGTCTACCCTCCGCCTCCCATATGTTGCCCCCCCACACATGCAGACAAACGGATACACATGCAGACACACACATAGACAGATACATACAAACACACATACATACATACCAACACACATACATACTCACAGACAGACACAAACATACAGACACACATACAAACACACAGACAGAGAAATATTCATACAGACACAAATACACAAACATATACAAAATTATTTTTTCCTGTTTCATACCTTTTAGGTGCAGGAGGGTGACTTTCCCTGGGGTCCAGTGGTTGCTCAGCCTGATGGGAGTCAGAGTTCCTACTCTGACTCCCTCCACTACCGCCCGCACGGATCCCGGTGTAAGCTGGGAGGAGTGACCTGGGCAGTCACTTCCTCCCAACCTCTGATGCCATCTCAGGGGGCCTGGTCACGCTGTTAAAGAGCCCTGAGAGAATGGGCCACCCGATGGGCCCCTTCAATGCGGCCCCGGCTGTAATACCGCTGCGATCCCTGCAACCGCGGTAGTTCCGCCACTGTATGTACCACACGTTCAGATAAAACATGATTTTCTAGCTGCTCAGCCACTTATGAACAAAATAAGCTTCCTGTACTTTCTGGTTAGAGGGTGTATTGTCGTTTTAGTATTTTCTCTATATATTTTATTTAAAATGTATTTCCCTAAATTTGAAATTCACTTTGGATTCAATTTGAATTTCCAAAAATGCTTACTTTCTTAAATGGCCCTGAGAGTGTTGGAGCATTAAAATCATTTTACATTTTGTATTTAGTCATCAATAAATGTCTATAATAAATAAATAAAAGGTGTTCGTCTTTGTAAATAACATTTGTTCTTGTTCCAAATTGCACATTCAGCTACAACACTGTTAACTAGTGAGTCATAAAGACGCCTATAATATTCCAAAATAATCCTGATGTCTGATCACATATTCAGTCATACACCTTAAAAGGAAAGAGTTCTCCTGTGTCTTTTGAAAATGTTGAGAGGTTTGGCAGAGGGTAGTTACAATGACTAGCAACAAAAGAAGGCAAATAAATTGAAAGATGTATTGTCAGTTCTTACAGATAACCGTGTAAAACATTAAAAAAATAAAAAATAAAAATCCCTACAGCTATTCCCACAATGGGTAATGGACTTTTCAACATTGAAAAATGTTGGTGTGACCAGCAAATCTATGTAAACTTGCGAACTTTTACAGAACAGGAATGATAAATGTAAATAGGGTCACACTGGAAAAACTATTGTAGTTGTGACAAATTACTATAGTACCACAAAATGCATAGTTTCATACTAACCTAGTCCATCAAATTCAATCTATAAAAAACATTCCTTTATGTTGTGTCTCAAAAAGAAGGCAAAAAAAATTGTTGGACTTTCAGATTATGTTACAGAAAGTAAAAAAAAAATCATTTTTACTCCAGAATGGCAATCATATTCCTCATTGATTCAACAGCTGGTTCACATGCATATTAATTAATATCCTGGATTATTCCGTTTAAAAAAAAAAAAAAATATAGTACAACCTTGAGATTTTTACATCTTTATTGTTCTTACTGTAAAGAACCCTTTCCTTCGCTTTAAGCAAAAACTCATTTCTTCCAGTCTGAATGGGTGTCTGTTATATATTCTTGCCAAGTTAGCACATAGTGGTTTGTACTGACCCTATACATGTTTGTATATTGCTATCATATTCCCTCTGAGGCACTTTTAATTTCTAAAGAAAAAAAATTAAGTTTCACTACCGTTCTTCTTAAATTTTTGTTATCCATTCCCCTTATTAATTTTGCAGCTCACCTCACTTTTTCTAGTTCTGAGATGTCTTTCTTTAAGGTGTCCAAAATTGCATCACATATTCAAGGTGGGGTCTTACTATTGAATTGTAAAGAGGCAATAAGTTATATTTGCTATATTTGATAAGTTACATTTTGTTCACATATATCAATACTCCTTTTTATACATGGCAGCACCTTACTAGCTTTTGCAAAGGCAGACTGAGATTGCATGATGTTTCCTTTTTTGTTATCTATATTTGTTCCCAAATACTATTCATGTGATGATATTCCTAACTCAATTCCATTAAATGTATAGGTAGCTTGTGGGTTCCTTATTCCAAAATGCAAGACTTTGTGTTTATCTCTATTAAATCTTATCTGCCACTTGCCTGCCCAGTCCCACATTTTATCCATATCCCTCTCTAAAGAAGTTATATCAAGTTCAGACTGTATTATCTTACCTGATTTTGTGTCATCTACAAACACAGACACATAACTTATGGTCCACTTTAAGAGCATTCATAAACAGAATAACGATAAGTAGACCCTTTTCCCCACGTACTACCATGGAACTACACTCTGTACTCTAAAGCACAACTTTTGCTAATGAAGCAGTTTTATTGTATAGATAGATCATGCCCCTGTACTCCCACTGCTCAATTCTCTGCCATCTAGGAGTTAAATCACTTTGATTGTGCAACCATAGTCACACCTTCCCACATGTGACTTGCACGGTCTTCCTAAACACTTCCTGTAAAAAGAGATCTAATATTTATACTTCCTTTATTACACAGTCTGTTACATTTAGAATGCCTTATCTCCTGCACTGTTAATAGATTCTAGACCTTGCAGGAGCCTTATGTCTGTGATTAAAGTTCAATTTACAGAGCAGAATATGAGTACTTCTAAAGTAAGGTAACATCTGATTGAACATTAAACCATTCTTGTTTCATGCGGGCTGTGTAGTGTGTGGCTATGGCTGAATTGACAGAACAAAAATCCATTTAACTCCCTAATAGTAGAGAATCGATCAGTTAGACTTCAGAGGCAAGATTGATAGGCAAAAACTGGTTCATTAAGCTAAAGTTGTTTTGATGACTATAGCGTCCCTTAAAGATCACAGGTCCGAAGTTTCTATCACCTGTTTCTTGTAAGGCTGTTGTAACAGAGACTGCAACTCTGCAGCCGCAGATTCTTCCTTGGTATTTACTGAAGAAAATAAATATTTAGAATTTCTGCCCTGTCCTGATACTCATTGTTTAACACCTCCACCCCCCATTCCCCCTTTTCAGATATGCACAGATATAGCAACATAATGAGGATGTCTTCTTAAGTGAGGTACAGTTACCCCGAGAGCCCACAACAAGAGCAATAGTCACTAATGACACAATGTACATATGCATGAAAACAAACCGAGGGTTACTAATAAGAAATTGTCAAATTATAGCTTTGCTAATTTAAGTGTGTTGTGCGTTCACTCAAAGACTAACCAAAGATACAGTTCTAAATAACTTGCTGATACAGCAAGCTGTGAGCATTACCAAAACTCTACTGAAACTAATTTCTTTGTCTATATCTTATTTTCTAGTAAACTTTGAAGCACTGATCATCGCAATGGGTGTGGTAGCGGGAGCAATCGTACTGACCATAACCATTTGCTGCTGCTACTGCTGTTACTGCAAGAAAAGTTCATATTCAAGGTTGGAACATAATTTCATACATTTTTTTTATTTTTTGTTGCTTTTCTATAGAAATTCTCAGCTGACCTTGCACGGGCAGCACTGAGATGTGGCACCATTTTGTTGTCCCCTCAGGAATGTCTGTTAGTGGAAAATCATTGGCAAAGATTTAGTATGGACTATGGGAAGCAGATCATATTACGTCATTAATTGTAGCAGGCACATGCAAGGATATGTACAAAAGTGAAAACTGTCAGGAATTCAAAGTGAATTTCATGTTTTAGACCAAAACAGCAGCTCTGGAAGCATAGCTGACTTAGAGATTTTTTTCCAATTCAGCTATTTTGGCCTTGAATTTGAAATTCACTTTGAATGCCCAACAATCTTAACAAATCTCTAACATAGGTGGTTAACTAGATACATTCAGAAGGGATCTTAGAATAAGAAGTTAAGAAAGTTGAATAAATATTACCAACAATTACATTTAAATTAATAATGCTGGAAACCTAAGCTTAATGTATCACAGTACACTTTGATTCTCCATTTTTTGGGGCAGACTAGATGGGCCAAATGGTTCTTATCTGCCGTCACATTCTATGTTTCTGTGTTTCTAAGTCTCACTTAAGTAAATAACCCCATTGAAGCCTGTTCAGTAGGTTAAAAAGTTCCCAGATGGCATTCAGTTGTCCCGATTGGTCCAAATCATCTAAAACCCGTATGGTTATTCAGAAAAGCCATATATTTTAGCCTGAAATGTACTGGCATCTAGCTGGCTATTGAAATTAGCAGAATATGGATGGGTTTGCTGCTGCATCCATTTAGCAAACCGCCAAATTGCAAACGTCTACACCCTATTCTCTTAATTTATTTGATCCAATTTCCTTGATACAAACGATTTAAAACTGTACCTGTAACCCCCTTACCCTGTAACAATACATCAACTCAAAATCCGTCTCATCCCTACTCCTAACCTAGCTCAAGTCTCAAAAAAGTTTTTGGTCACTTGTGCCATTACAAAGAGAACTATTTGCATATCAGACTAACCCCACCCATAAGGGCCGTCCAGAGCCGAAATGCCAGGTAATTCACCTCTGTACGAGAGATACAGCAGCCCGAACGATTGTTTTGGCATTCTTTGCGCCTCATCAGCAAGGTATAGCTGATACCCTCCCACGGGTAGGGTTTGGGTTACTTTTTCTATTAGTTATCTTCCTGTAACATTTTTTCCATTACTTTTTCCCGGGATTAGTTTTACTTATTGTGTTTTCATTGTGTTCTTTTTATTTCTAAATCAACAAGTACATTTTGGTGCCGTGCCAGTCCCCATTAGAGAATTCTTTCACTGTATCTTATTTAAGTGTAAAGCTCTGGTGGCTTACGAAAATATTTTCTGCGTGTACATTTTAAATTATTTTGTTCTGTCTGTTTTAAAGATATATTTGAAAGTGATCGCATTGAGAGTACATATATCTGATGAAAAAGCCTTAGCTTTGCAGAAAATTGATGCAGAGGAATATTTATTTCTAAGATTTATGTGTTTGTTTATTAAACAGTCTGCTGGCTTTAAAGTAACTCGCTTAGTCTGTGAATAATACAGAATCATGTTCTATTAATAAGATAAAAACAATATACATTCTGTATGCGCAGATAGAAATTATTTGAATGTCTACAGTTTAGCAGCAGCCTGGAGATAATGAAGTTACATGGTGTTAAGATAGCTCAATTAATTAATACACCAATTCTAGAAAGTGTTTAAACTTCATGGCTGCTTGTTCATTAGCCGGTAGTGTCATAGTCACCTTTCATCTTTCCTAGGTTGATGAAGTTTTGCAATTATGTATCTATGATCCGTGTTCTGTCCTTGTTATAACACAAACTGCAAAAAAGATAAATAACTGTTTTATCTCAATATCTACTGTGCTTGTGGGAATTAAATGGTTACTCCAACCAAATTCTGAGTGTTGTATTCCATTGCTTTCTATCTAGTCGGATGGATGCTGAAGAAGAAAATCTTATCCGTGAACGTGAAAGGAGGCAGCAACAGGCCGCTGAGAGGTAGGGGTAGCATTCTAACTGTTCTATTGGAAGACTACTGTGAGTTTTTAAACAGTTTTTTTGTGTTTAGCAACCAGTGTTTATTTGATGTTACCTTATTCACCTAAAGTATTGCAACATAAGTGAGGCTTAGTTTTGGGAAAAGGTGGCAAAGCGAATAATGGGGTTTCCAAACATAAGGGCTGCCTTATAAAACTTGTTTGTCTGTGCGTGAAAATCCAAATATTATTAACAAAATGCACAAGTCACAGAACCTTGATAAACTATATGAGCTAACTGTATTCATAAAAGAAAAGTGGGATGAGAATGAGATTATGCAGACTGGACAGCTCCAGTAACCTGCAAGAACCACAACTGCAATGGGTTGTGGTGGTTATGGTGTTTTATAATGTCATTTGATGGATGTATTATATTAAAGCAATATGTCCAGAAATTCACCCAGGGGACAGTGACCATAATATGATGTAATTTCAAATAAAGTCAAGAAAATACTACAATATGTGTTGTTAGGACAATTAATTTTAGGATAATCACTTTGCTTAGCAGCAGATTAATGAGTAATGCACAATATTCCTGTGATGGCCTGGAAGACGTGTCATTTGTATTACAGGGTTCTCTAAATGAGGAAAATGTAGATATTGTTTCAGTGCTGACTTTGTATCTTGTTTTGGATTAACAGCAGCAACTAGCAAAAAGTAAAAGGTTGAGGCTTGATGTAAACGTATTATTTTAGCCTTGGTTAATGGGATACATATAATGTTAATGAGCAGAAACCATTGCTGGATGTGAGTGACACATAATATTAGGTGCATTGCTGCTTTCAAACATAGGTCAACAGAATGATTAGTGGACAACACCAGTAATCACAATGTAAGTATATTGAATATGTACAAATTGGTCCTATCCGTAAACTCCAATAAATTGGTGGCTGTAGCGGTTACACTAGTCAGCCCAATTGTGCAAACGAATGAAAGCTACCTTTAATCTATCTTCAGCAATCTTTTTGTGGAAGTGACTTTAACGCAAGTCTCTGTAACTGTTAAATGTTTTAAATACACATTAGCATTTGCCTTATTTGAGAGCATTGCTTTGAGGTTGGTGAGTGAGCTTACACTTTATGGCCATGCAGTGATTCTTAAAACCTCTTGCTACTTAAAAGTGTACACTAAAATTTGGGAAAGAGTGCAGGAATATATATACTATTGCTAGCAGATTCACGTAAACTCCCAAACTCCTCAAATTACCCCAATGAATATTTATTTTTATGACAGAAGCACTCTAAAATGAAAAATATTTGCTTTTCTGTAAACAGTATTTATTCTAAAAAAAAATAAAAATAAGTTTAACCAACCAGCTGCCGTCCAGCCTGTGAGTGTTGCAATGCATCATAGATGATCGCAGAGCACAGTGATCCTTACCAACTTAGAAATGATCTGATCCTGAGTGATACTTACTCTCTGTAATCATTACTGTTCTGTGTAGTTACTCACACACACAGATGGCGGCTGCTGGTGCTCACTCTTTATGCCTAGGGAACTGTTTATTCACAGTTCAAGAGTTGATAAAATGGAAACGTTTGCATGCTTAATGACATAATGCTGTGAGTGACATTATGCTCCCGCTGCCATTAATCATCTGTATGTGAGCTCTTGAACGTCCGTTAAATAATGAGAACTAGCCAGGTATAAGTAAGGCATGCATAACACTTTGGGCACCCATGAGGTGGGCAGTTCATTGTTCATGATTTTTGGCAACATAGGTGCAGGTGACTCCATTAGTTACATGTCATTTTTGACCATTACCAGCAGCAGAAAAGCTTAAAAAAAATATATTTTTTTTTTAAATTAATTTTTTTGGGTGTATAGCTTGGAAAATGTATCCACTACAGTAAGCCATAAATAGCCTTGAACATGGATTGTTCATTTTCTGGGATGTGACACAGTGAACCTTTTGATCACAGTTGTAGCAGCTATATTTTCTGAAATGGAGATTATACAAGCTGTAAATCATGACACCGCAGGACACCGAGCTGATCCAATGCATCCCATTGAGGCTGTATGGACCTGTATCTATACCACCAACAACTGAATATGATGCAAAGAACTTAACTCAAAAAAAATAAAAAGGCTTGGGAAAAAAATGTTTTTTTTCTTGTTTGCTCTGGGCTAGCAAGGAAAATGTTATAAATGAAGTGAGATAATTTTTAAATTATACTGAAATCTAATAACTGGATTTTTTTTATACAAACTTCAAATCACATTATTATTTTTACTGAGCGGTTATAAATACATTTGTGTGTTTAATTTGATTTCATTGGATTTAAAGGGTTACTCTAAGCAGCCTTGGTGATTTGAAGTGGTCGTGGGCCTTGCAGTCTGTATATGCAGCGTTTCACTAAGAATCTCTACACATACAGAGAAAATGCACATTGCTGCCAGAGGTAGAGCTCCACTTCCGTCAGCGTTGTTAATTCTCTGCATATTGGGCACCTGTCGTCTGCACACATAGCATGCGACCAATGTGTCATGGCTTCCCTCTCCATGCACCAAGTCCTCCCCTCAGTCTTTCCTTAGGGACGTCCCTCCTGCTGCAACGATAGGGATTGACGTCACCTTAGTATGACTAGCCTGCAGGGAGAACTTGACCTCAGCGGGGGATCGCAGGTAAGCTTTTTTTATTATTATTATTTTTATTATTGTTGTTAACAGAGGGGTCCATGCCAGCAAGGTTTACTCCAGCCCAGAACCAGTGGTTTATTAAAACAATGGTAACAAATGGTAATTAAGTGGGTGCAGTGAGTATTTTTGGAGCAGAGGAGTGCGTAGTTTACGATGAACATACCTGCTTTGCACACTGTAGGTACACTGTCAAGTGACGTCTGGTTGGCATCAGTCGTTTACAGACTGATCAGTAGCTGGCCCATTACAACCATGCAAACTTTTCTACCATAACATTCTGATGGCAAGTGCCCAGTGTGCTTGCTGAGAAGTTCAACATAAGACAGGATTTACATTCTTATAGCTATTTCTTTCCTGTTATAATACATGACATGCGCACCGTTGTATCACGGCATATCTATAACCAAATACCCAGGCCCCAATAAACCACAGACACCAATTTCTACAGCTTTATTAAATATATCATAAATTATAACAATTAGGATCATTGCCGACAACCATCACAGCATTTTAAAACCATACATAATCTCCCCTGGCAATGACCCAACAATACACAGTATATAACAATATATATAACACATAACATGGCCGTCCATGCGACATTATTTACAAGGATAAACTGCAGGGGTGTACCGAAATATCCCTACACCACCAGGTTCGGAGCTCCCAAAGAGCTCGAACCTTCAAACCAACTGTAAACTCTTGCCTAAACCTATCCGTGCCCCCCTTCCTTCTCCAGGTAGCTCCCAATTTAACCTTGCCATTCCCCGCTGCTGTGAAGAAACAGGGAACACTATCCCCTATGAGCTACCAAAAAAGGAGAGGGGGGTGGGACAACTAACAGGTAAGGGCAGATTTGATTACGATAGCAGTGTTAAATATGACTGAAATAAAACCCTGCCCCCTCCATTAACCTTCCCACTTAACTCGTCCCATGCGTAACTCCTTGCCCTGGCAAGGCCCATTCCCCTGCTGCGCTGTTCCATGGGCTATATTTCAGTTTTTTGTTAGTAATTCAAATAGGGAATTTCTTTTCATAAAGTCATATTATAATGTGTATAGCATTTTATTCCTTTTCAACCAATCCACAAAATCCACACAAATATCTACATTGGTGAATGTTTCTAGTGACTTTTGGGCTGTGCTGGTTGGTTTGTAACATTACCTACATGCTTGACTGCCACAATGCGTTCATAAGCCATGCCCATAGTGTTTGATTGCTGCCACTCAGTTGTTAGAGGTAGAGAATATTGCTTGATAAAAACAGACGGGAGTTCTATCTACAGTACCACTGAAGAAAATATTGAAGTTTCTCTGAGAAAACATGTTTGAAGGACTACCTTCTAAAATAGTTTTCTTTGGTGTTCTATAAAGAAACAAAACCGCTTGCAAAAGCTGCAAATCCGCTGTCTGCAGCCTTTGTAAGCCCTCCCTCTTTCCCAGACCAAGACGCGTTCTGTTGCAGGGAATTCACTAATCAGAGGTTTCTCATTGAGATGTCTCTGTGCCCTAGCTGAGAACAATCACAGCTTTCCATTTCTTCTCAATGAGCTCACTGAGAAGAGGTGAAGGAAAAGCACGCCCTAGCCCTGCTTACATGCTCAAGAGAGCGAATGGAAGAGGAATAAACCTCCCCAACTGACTGTCACTTTTCTAAACTACAAAAATGGCCGATTCATGACACATAAAGCACTTCACCGTTATATCTCTGGAGTTTTCCTGTATGTGGTTGATAACGTTATTTTACTAAAGTGAAAATTGTTGTCAATTCAAAGTGAATGCAAGTGATTTTCAGCTTTAAGGTCAAAGTAGCAAAATTGTTAGCATAGCTGACTGTGAAATTTTCAGTTCAACTACTTTGGCCTTAAAGGGACACCATAGCCACCAGAACCACTACATGTTAATGTAGTGGTTCTGGTGTATATAGTCTGTCCTTGCAGGCTTTTCAATGTAAAACACTGTCTTTTTAGAAAATGGCAGTGTTAAATTGCTGCCTAGTAACACCTCTAGTGGGAGTCAGTCAGGCGCTCTGCATGGTGGGGCTAAATGCTCCCCATAGAGATGCATTAATTCAGTGCATCTTTATGGGGAGATGCTGATTGGCACATGCGCAATAACCTCCCAATGCTGTCCTATTGGAAAGAATTGAATTGGCTGAGATTATCTAAATTGATGATCTCAGCCATGTAGATGCCAGGCAGGGCCAGCTACCGCAAGACCAAAGCTGTTTTGGGGGGAAAAGTGAGTTTTAACACCTTTTTACTGATATTGGAGGGTGTTGTTCACCTAGTTAAACACTATAGTGTCATGAATACATGTGTTCCTGACATTATAGTGTTCCTTTAAATTATGAGCTCACTTTTAATTCTCAAAAATTGTCACTTTAGCGGTGGATTTGAGGACGGGGAAGAGTTTGAATCTAGGATTTGTAGGTTAGTTCTAATGCAGTGTGGGAAAAGTTGTAGAAGAAGGAGCCCAAGGAACATATGGAGGCTATTTAGTATAATAACTAGACAGGAAAGAGCTGTGGATTTTTATTTTTTTTTGTGCTAGCGTTATCTACTTTTTTGTTTCAAACATTTGCTTCACAGAATAAATCCCCGATAAGATGTTGCCTTTAGCACATATTCTAAGCACATATATCAAAAATTCATTACAGAGAGCTATGTCAAGGGTATATTAGAGATTGATTCAAACATAAGTTTTGAAAATGAAATCCTATGCTTCTCGAATTCATAAACCTACTCCTTTTTCCCAAACCATTAATTTACAAGTAAAATCACAACTTGTATTCTGCAGTCCTCTGATGAAAAAATTTTCAGCATATAAAGTTGTCAAGATTATAAATTGGATTAAGGTATGTTGTAAAACTTTTTGCTTTGTGTTTGCAGACAGCACTTGGCTTATTAGTTTATTTTTTTGTTTGCTTCATAAAACTTTCCTGAACACATAAACAGAGCACCACCTGATGGCATTTCTCATGCAGCAATAAGTGACCAAACTTTTTTTATGTTGTTTAAAAAAAATTAACAACTGTATTTTAAAGGACCACTATAGTGCCAGGAAAACATACTTGTTTTCCTGGCACTATAGTGCCCTGAGGGTGCCCCCACCCTCAGGGTCCCACTCCCGCCGGGCCCTGGGGGGAGGAAGGGGTTAAACTTACCTCTTTCTCCAGCGCCGGGCGGGGAGCTCTCTTTCTCCTCCTCTCCTCCCTCTTCTTCCGTCACCAGCTGAATGCGCATGCGCGGCAAGAGCCATTCAGCCAGTCCATAGGAAAGCATTATCAATGCTTTCCTATGGACGCTGGCGTCTTCTCACTGTGAAAATCACAGTGAGAAGCGCGGAAGCGCCTCTAGTGGCTGTCAATGAGACAGCCACTAGAGGCTGGATTAACCCTATTGTAAACATTACAGAAAAATGGGTTAATCCTAGATGGACCTGGCACCCAGACCACTTCATTAAGCTGAAGTGGTCTGGGTGCCCATAGTGGTCCTTTAAGCATCTGTGTTTAAAAGGAAAGGAGCCATCTCTTTTTAAAGATGTTTGTTGTCTCATTACATTTTTACATTTCATTGATTGCAATCAGATTTTCCAGGCTGGAGCTAACCACCTCCTTTGTTAAGGCATTATATAGGTGATATCGTAAAATGCCAACAAATGTGGTGTTTGTATTTTGTTTATTATGTTACTTTTATTATTATTGTGTTCAGTTCATTTATTAAAGGACCTCTGTAACCTCTAAACTATTTTTTTAATATAATGATCATTGCATCAAGTTTTGAAAGGAAATGGATTTTTTTGGTTAAATTAAGTATATGGGGGAGGGGCTTGACTGCTATGCTGCTCAGTCACATCTTGACCGAGCTCCATGCAGATCGCTATATTTTCCAAATTTGGGGGCTTACATGCCTTATATTTACACCAGGGCTCATCGGCTACTGTGCAGGCCCTACTGTGCAGGCTAAAGTAAATTTCAAATTATAGCCCAAGATAACAGACTTGGCAAAATTTACAAAGTCATGTATCTTAAAACATTCAGTGATTTTAGCCAAAAATGTGAAATTAATTTGGAATTGTCTAAAATTCGTATATTATTCAATGACCCTGAAAGTGACTTTTAGAGAAGATTTCTTGTTGAGATGTCTCTGGGCTCTAGCCTAACCGTGTAAGAAAGGTTTGAATGTCTACTCTCTGAGCTGTGTGTTTTATTATTAGAAAGAAGCTTTTAATTGCTTAGGCTCTCATTTTAGACTTGCTTTATCATTTATATATTTCTGTTTAATTTTTTTATCTTTTATTAAATTTATGTGTATATGCCATTGGTGAATCAAACCACATAATATAATTCTTACATATGCCAGGGAAAATTAGTCAATACAAATTCATTCCATACCTCTTTGTAATAAATTAACCTAGCAAAATAAGGGGACATTGAAAATTAAAATCCAATCTTTGTTTCCTTCTGATTTTTTTGTTAATTTGTCCTGAATAACTGAATAAAACTTTGACATTTAATATAATTGTATATGCAAACTGAGAAGTTAATAATTCATGTAATCATTCCAAAAACAAGTTAATTACATGATAATGTTACTCTAGCAGAAGTTAAGTAGTAGCTCTAATTGGGTTTTCATATTCTATTCAGACTACATGATGTACACCTTAACCACCTCGTTAAACCTCTCCTTAATAACATTATTGGATCAGTATATCCAAAAGCAAATCTTGCACCCTAAATATTACGCACAAAGCCATACAAATTAATGTCTACTATTGCTGAATACTGCAATCACATAAAAACCTGTTTTTGTTGAATCAATTGATGCAAAGTTTTTTTTTTTTTAATGTGAAATAATTTATTTTTGTATATATGTTTACATATTCTCTTTGAGGGTGACATTCAGAGTTAGAAGGTAATGTAGCTTTCCTAGATGGAAGTTGACATCAAACATACTCTGTAGAAGTAGCATCTTTGCAACAATAGCATATATACGAGTGGGCAGCATGAAAGCATGGAGTCAGCCTTGTCACCAAGGCTCTATGCCAAAATTATGCCTTGGATCGATTTCCACTCAACTGAGCTTGACTCTCCGATTTCACCACTTTCACTCTTTCATCCAGTTGGGTCTGTTTGCTAAAAAGTGAATTCAAATAAGCATGACAAACCTTGTTTCTAACGAGTCCAAGTTGTTATTGTGTCTTGTCTCATATTCTTAAAAACAGAGATTATTAGTGTCAATATAAAATAATAATTATTATTATAATTACTACTACACAGGTACAATATCAGTTTATTTTAGCCAACTCAAAATGAATGTAAAATGATTTAACACGCCTTTATTGCGTTTTTTTATGTGCTGTGTCACATTGATACTAGAACCTGTTTATGCCACTGGCAATGCAGGGTTTGCATAGATATGCTTTCATTTGTGGATCAGGTTCTGACGAGATAACAATCTTAGGTGATTTCAGGCTGGGGGGTTCCATGTTGATACACAAAAACGTGAAAAGGTTGCAGATTGCTAATGTAGAGGTACTGAGAAGCTAGTTAAGGTTTTTTATAACCAAGTCAGAATTGTATATGGAAGTTAGCGAATGTTGTGCCCATTTACAAGAAAGGTAATAGGGAGGAGTCGGGCAACTATAGGCCAGTAAGCCTTACTTCAGTAGTGGGGAAAGTGATGGAAACCATGCTAAAGGATAGGATTGTTGAACATCTAAAAACACATGGATTTCAAGATCAGAGACAACATGGGTTTACTTCAGGGAGATCATGCCAAACTTATCTTATTGATTTTTTTGATTGGGTAACTAAAATTATAGATCAGGGTGGTGCAGTAGACATTGCTTACTTAGATTTCAGTAAGGCTTTTGACACTGTTGCACATAGAAGGTTTATCAATAAACTGCAATCTTTAAGTTTTGATTCAAATATTGTTGAATGGGTAAGGCAGTGGCTGAGTGACAGGCAACAGAGGGTTGTAGTTAATGGAATATATTCGAAGCTTGGACTTGTCACCAGTGGGGTACCTCAGGGATCTGTACTTGGACCCATTCTCTTTAATATTTTTATTAGTGATATTGCAGAAGGTCTTGATGGTAAGGTATGTCTTTTGCTGATGATACTAAGATATGTAACAGGGTTGATGTTCCAGGAGGGATAAGCCAAATGACAAATGATTTAGGTAAACTAGAAAAATGGTCAGAATTGTGGCAACTGACATTTAATGTGGATAAGTGCAAGATAATGCATCTTGGACGTAAAAACCCAAGGGCAGAGTACAGAATATTTAATAGAGTTCTAACCTCAACATATGAGGAAAGGGATTTAGGAGTGATTATTTCTGATGACTTAAAGGTAGGCAGACAATGTAATAGAGCAGCAGGAAATGCTAGCAGAATGCTTGGTTGTATAGGGAGAGGTATTAGCAGTAGAAAGAGGGAAGTGCTCATGCCATTGTACAGAACACTGGTGAGACCTCACTTGGAGTATTATTGTACGTAGTACTGGAGACCGTATCTTCAGAAGGATATTGATACCTTAGAGAGGGCTCAGAGAAGGGCTACTAAACTGGTTCATGGATTGTGGGATAAAACTTACCAGGAAAGGTTAAAGGATCTTAACATGTATAGCTTGGAGGAAAGACGAGACAGGGGGGATATGATAGAAACATTTAAATATATAAAGGAATCAACACAGTAAAGGAGGAGACTATATTTAAAAGAAGAAAAACTACCACAACAAGAGGACATAGTCTTAAATTAGAGGACAAAGGTTTAAAAATAATATCAGGAAGTATTACTTTACTGAGAGGGTAGTGGATGCATGGAATAGCCTTCCAGCTGAAGTGGTAGAGGTTAACACGGTAAAGGAGTTTAAGCATGCATGGGATAGGCATAAGGCTATCCTATCTATAAGATAAGGCTAGGGACTAATGAAAGTTTTTAGAAAATTGGGCAGACTAGATGGGCCGAATGGTTCTTATCTGCCGTCACATTCTATGTTTCTATGTATATTCATTGATCAATATACATTTTGGTTCTAGAGATATGGGACAACTATGGGAAACAGAAAATGCATTGTTTTTAATTAATGAATTGCATAATGGATTCATGTTGAAGATAACAACTGAAAAAGGAAATCTAAAACAAACAAAACCGTTCATAACATTTTATTTCTACCAACAACATACATGATTTAGATAAACCCTAGCCTAGGTTATCATGAATTCAGCCTGTATATGTATATAATCATGACTGGGGACATAATGTGGCACGAATATTTTCGATTTGGCTCTTTAGTTACCCCTACTTGTGTATCTTTTGTGGTTCACGATATCTTCTCAATTTATTTTCCTTAGCAGACAACTTTTATTTGAATATTTATTTTAATTCAGTTTTATTTATGGTTATTTATTCTTTAATTATGCTGATTCAAATTTAGCGTTTATGGATTACTCTTCCAGGTATTCAAGGTTTCCTATCGCTTTTAATCATTAGATGAAGTTTTGTTTATTTAAAACCCTTTTTGTTCATCTGATAGCTAAAGGTTTTGTTAATTCATCAGTTATTGCCTTTTTATATATTTTTAAAAAAGTAACTGAAGTAGAACTGTGTCTGCGTTTCATGTTCTGTACATGCGATTCATGTTTTTTTATTCGATTTTACCAATGCATGTCTGCTTATATCTTATTTTCTCATTATTTTACAGAAAGAATGAAAGGACTGTAAAGCATAATGAGATCCGTAAGAAATATGGTAGGTCAATTTGCTTTTTGGTGAACTGGTTTTTGTTTCCCATTCTCCAGCTGAAACAAGGCCATATTTTCTAGAAACACATTGCAAAACTGGATTTAAGTTGGTGCTAACAGTTGTACAGTATTTATGTGATATGAAGTCCCTAAATACGTTGTCCTCCCCTTCATATTAAAATTACAGGGGAACAAGTACAGCTAAATACAGCTATTGTTCAAGGGCTATTGCTCATTCCGTTACATGACCGAAGATGGAAATTAGGTGGTAAGCAACAGCTAGTTTAAGGTCCCTGTCAGCCCAAGTGAGCTGATAACATACTGCTTTAACACATTTAGTGTTTGAAATGAAATCAACATATTCTTTTGTAGCCTGCATGAACAAAAACTGTTTTATTTCAATCAGATGTTAACTTGCGTTAGACGTTTTTATCTCCTGCTTCGTAAATTTAACTTCAATCACACAGGAGGCTCATGCAGGCACTGGGAGACTATTAATGGAGACAGAAATTAAATTGGATGTGCAATACAGGAACCTAGAATTCTCAAGGTTCATTTTTAGGAAGTGTTTATGAAGGCTGTGCAAGTCACATGCAGGGAGGTGTGACTAGGGCTCTACAAACAAGGTGATTTAACCTAAATGGCAGAGAATTGAGCAGCAAGACTGCATGGGTATAACTTTAGACATCAAAACTACTTAATTAAGCTAAAGTTGTTTTGCTGCCTATAGCAATCTTTTAATATATATTGATGTTTGAGATGCAAAGATTAACAAGAGCAGTTTTTGTTCCTGAACAAGACTTTTCCAAACAAGAAGCAGCCGCAGATCAATGGGTAGTTTCCCCTCCTCCCAAGTTGGACAGGACACCTAAAATCAAATTTAAAAATATTCCAAGATGGCATCTCCACCAATTAGACCACAGGATCTGTTTGTATGATCGGCACTTTGCACTTTCCTAGTTGAATGGCCTTCAAGCTTTGTTTTAAAGGGACACTATAGTCACCAGAACAACTACAGCTTAATGTAGTTTTCTGGTGTGTATATTATGTCCCTGCAGGCATTTAAATGTAAACTCAGATGGCCACTAGAGGTGCTTCCTGGGTCAGTGCTGCACAGGGTGCAGAACTGACATTGTGTCTCCACACTTTGCATGGAAGCGCTAAAAGTTCCTCATGGAGATGGATTAATTCAATGCATCTCTACGAGGAGATGCTGTTTGGTGCAGCACACTATTTTGGCTGGAAAGAAGTAAGTTTTTACCCTTTTTAAAGGGAGCAGGGAGTGGGGGGTGCGTACACTAAAATGTTTGTATTCCTGAACCTATAGTGTTCCTTTAAGGATTTTAGCTCTGCACACAAAGATAGTTTTCTTTATAGTTTTTACATAAGCCAAAGGAGTCACAAAGCGTCCACAAGAATTGGGGTCACAGTACGTTTTTATTTTTTTATCATTTTAGCTTTTTTCAGTTTACTGCAGTAATTCAACAACAAAAAGGCAAATAGTCCCTGGTAGTCACAGAAATGAGGTCAAATGGAGGCTGCTATAATCGGAATTATATTTTCTATTGGTGAATCAAAATGACCATTTAGGTAATATCTGACAAGTATGATCTTTTTCTCACTTACCTATATGCTGCTGCTTTAGGCACAGATAGGACATTGGTTAAGAAAGACATACACGACAGATGAACCATATTTTTTTAAGTGTAATAATATGCTGTCATCAATGATATATAGCGCAAACTGAATATTATAACAGGTTACAGGATACCATCAGTCAAATCCTCTATTTGCTATCAACTAGGGTTACTGTCATCTTGTGAAATGTATAGAAAATCTACATTTGTATGAAAATATAAAATGAAAAAGAAAATACCATATATTTGTATGTCGTGTCAGTCCATTGACCGAGTCTCTTTACCAGCTGTGGGCTGGGAAATGGCTTTGAGAGAAGTGCGAATGTGGCAAAAATTGGGTGTCGTTCTCAACATCTCAGACCTGGGTAGTGGTATTGGAACATTGTGTAGAAATCACCAAGATCCTTGGAATGGCCAGGTTTATTTCATATCTCATTCTAAGCATAGTAGCAACATTGGATCATTGCAAGTCTGTGGTGCAGGAAGTAATCAGCTGTCCAGCCTGGCAGCCTGGTTCTTTGGTGTGCTATGACGTCCATGCTGCTGTGGGCTAAACTGCTTATCTCATAAAGCCTTCCTTCAGATTTGGACTGGAATTTAAGGGATAAAATCAGACCCTCATGGGTAGAGCTTCCTCACGGTGGTGGTGGTGGTGGTGAGGGGGGTCTACTTGCTTTTTACACATGCTTTGCAAGTGCAGCAGTAGTAGTATCTTTAAATTATATATAGTATACACTTTGTACATTAATATACAAATGTTTCCTTTCTCTCTCTTTTTTTTTTTTTTTAATTCATTATCTAAATCTAATTCATTATTCATGCCAAGTTGTACAAAGATTCATTACGGTTCCCTACAGCTATTGTGGCGAGGCAAACCGGATTGTTCAGTTATTTAATGCACTAACAAAAATAAAGAATATAAAAAAAAAAGTTATACAAATTATGACGCATAAAGTATACAACAATATGTTATCATTTTTTATTTTTTTATTTTATGTGCATGTTTAATACTTTGCTCTAGAAGATTTTTTTCCAAAATCACTCCCATTGTTATCCTGAATATGTTCTCATTCTAAGAATCTCTCTTGGTTATTATAGCTGGGGATTTTGCACATTCATATGTGCGGCTCCAAGTATTTCCCTGACCAGCTTTATCGTACCAGCGACCTGATTAATTGAGACTTCAATACGACTATCAGGCCTTCTACTGCCAGCGCAATTTTTTTCTGCCCCAAACTTGTAACCAAAATGGATTTTCTGAAATATATCTCCATCATAGCTGAGTTGGTTTGAATAGAAATGCATACATTACTCTTTAGTATCAGAGTCTTTTCCCATTAAGAAATCCTGAATAAAATGTTATATGCTGCCAACAGATGAGTCTAATGCGTTCTGAAAATGCATATGTTTAATTCAATCTTCTTGGCATTTTCGCCACTTGAAACAACATGGCGACGTAAGCCTGCTGTGCTGAGCCTTTGAAGTTGCTGCAGAGTAGTATGTATGCATTTCTAAGCTCCAATATGAAAGAATATTTAAAAAAAAACCTAACTCTTACATTGTGTAATAATTTGCTTAATAGCAAAAAATTCAATATTGTTTTAAGTTTTTAATTTTTTTTCCCCCTGCATGTCAGATTTGGTTTTTAATAAGTTATGGTTATTAATAAGGATAAATGACAAATATGACAAGATTTATTAGCGCTGGCTCTGAAGATTAAACCACAAAATGTCTGTTCATGCTTGTCGTTTGGGGGAGGTAGATTTTATTTCCCCTTGATTTGCACCCACCCATCTTTTCTCCTGTCATTTAAATGGTAATGACATATATAATTGCATTGCAAAGGGAAAGAGACCGCAGGAAGCCAAGACCTACAGTGGCTCATAGCTGATACAGTTTAGTGCCATTATGCTTTCAAGACTTTTAGTATGCCTTTTGACAAACCATGTGCCCTGTAATTATAGCTCTAAAATGTGATGAGGATAATTGCAATTTAAGAAGAATTAACATGTAGTTAAGTTGCATTCTTTACCACTTAATTGATACAATATACAGACTTTATAACCATTTAACAAATGTCTGCACTATATTATTCTGTTAACATTCTTTTTAAGAGCCCACATTATAGTAATGTAAAAAATTTTTGGGAAATACTTACTAATTTATATTAGCTGTGATACTATTTACTGCAGGGATCTGTTTTTATTGACTTTGCATGTTTTTGTAAAGTGTCAAGTTAATTAAATTTACTGGAATTTGCACCATTTTTCTCTGAATTTATACTTAATACTTATCAAATAACCATTTAATTTTATTTTTCATACCTCATAATTACACGCTTGCTTAATATAGGGATATTCAAACATAATATTAAATAGTCTTGGGAAGTGACAGCTCCCCTTTAAATACCTAACTACTTAATCTTACTGAAATGGTTATGGTGCAACAACACGAAAATGCATGTCAGTATTTAAGCACACTCAGGCATTCGCACAAGGATTTGGGAATTGGATGGTTAATCAATATTTAATTGTTTTGTAGTTGTTTTCAATAGCATCGGGAGTAATGATACTTTTATAAAAAATAATCATGGATGTATCCAAAATATTGAATTTTCAACAGAGTGCATCACAACCTCTCAATGTCAACTCTGAAATGGTACTTCATTGAGTGCAGTTCTGTTTTGGAGCCCTTTAAATGGGACTTAAGGACCGCACACTCATCAAGGCTGAGAAATAAGGTAGTTGCAGACAACAGCATCTATATTGCTGACATTTTATAGTTTTATGAAGTCACTCGTCAGATCAGATGATTGGCAGGCAAGACCAAAATAATACCTGAGATTTTCTTCAATATTGCTCTGTAAAGCAATGCGAAAATAACTGCAAATATTCTTGGAAATTGATAGAAAGTATCTGCGGCAAAATCATTCACAAATGGCAAGAGTTGATTGGCTGCGCCCATGCTATTATTGCCAATCTGTAGCCCGTCAGTTTGATGTCCATGGAAAGCAGTTAATATTTGAAACAATATATTTGTCTGTTTATATGCCTGGAAACACTTTTTATCGGAAACTTTTTTTTTTTTACTATCAAAGAAGAAAATATTAAAGGGACACTATAGCCACCAAAACAACTTTAGCTTAATGAATCAGTTTTGGTGTATAGATCGTACTCCTGATTACTGCTCAATTCTCTGCCATTTAGGAATTAAATCACTGTTGTTTATGTCTAGGCAGCCTTAACCACACTGCCATTGGCTGTGACTGACACATGGGCAAAAATGTTTAATTTTCAATCATATTTTAACTTACTTTAGATGTTTTTATCTCCTGCTCTTTAAATTAAACTTTAATCACAGACAGGAGGCTCCTGCAAGGTCTAGCAAGCTGTTAACAATGCAGGAAATGCAATGCAAGTAATTCTAAATTAAACAGACTATGCCATAAAGGAGGTGTAAACATTAGATTTCACTTTACAAGTGTTTAAGAATGCTTTGCAAGTCACATACTGGGAGGGCTGCATAAACACAGAGATTACAAGTTGCATGATCTATACACCAAAACTAATTCATGAAGCTAAAGTTGTTTTGGTGACTATAGTGTCTCTTTAACCCCTTAAGGACCAAACTTCTGGAATAAAAGGGCATCATGACATGTCACACATGTCATGTGTCCTTAAGGGGTTAAAGATTTAGTGTATAGGGGAGTGTTAACTCAGAAGCAATTACTATATAAGCATTGTTTAAAATCCCCATCAAAAAGCAAAACACAACCTTTGTATTTAGTGCTAACTAGATTTTTACTGAGATAGTCCTGATTATTTTTTTCCTTTAACAATATAACACGCTAACTAATACACATACTCTAAAGTGCCTACATATATTTATACATGGGCATGGAGGACATATTGGCACTTAACCCCTTAAGGACACATGACATGTGTGACATTTCATGATTCCCTTTTATTCCAGAAGTTTGGTCCTTAAGGGGTTAAATACATCATATTAATTCACTGTAATTGTATTAAAGAAGACTTTTAGGTCCATATTCTCAAAACCGTGAGTTTAGCAGGATTGAGCAGGCAAATGAAATCGAAATTTAGGCCTCCATTTTCAAGTTAGAAAAAAAGTTTTTACCTAAAAATGTTTTGAATTCGAATACTTTGTCTTAAACATTGCAGTCCTAAAATCCGTTTTAGAATTCTGCTTTTATTTCTGCACAATTCACAGTTTAATGAATACACCCTTCAGAAGACCCCAGCAAATACTTTTTTTTCCCAGTACTAAAAGCTCATAACCGATTCAAATGTTCCCAGGAAAGGTCTAATTACAAATAAAAAAATACTTTCTGTTAAGGGAATATAATTGACCAAACTTACTTAATAAGTTGATCACCATTCCAAACGAACACTCTATTAGAATGGATTGCCATAAAATCTAGGAGAAATCATGTGTTAATTAGCGTTTTGTCCTTTGGGAATGATATTTGCATTTTAACTGATTTCGTGCCCACGCTAATAACAATTTTCTTTCTCTTCCATGAATTAATAAAATTCCCAGTGTAATGTACACAAGATTACTTTCAATTATCATCCAGCTATTTCTAGCTCCATGAAGAGTATAGTGACAGATATGTCAATTTAAATGGTTTGCATATGATTAGACGATCTTTACATACATACATACATGCAGATCTATTTATATGAAAAAGCAATAAAATGCAGCTATTTGTTTATGAGCGAACTATTTAGATTCACAGCACATCTCCTAACGGCTGAGTACTGACATTTTTCATTTGCCAAAATATGTCAGGCAGATGGAAGTTTAAATTGCAATGTTCAGCTTCAGAATCGGACATATTAATACATATGAAAGATTCGCTTCTATTTTTTTTCACCGTTGTTTATTTCCAAATACTCAGACCTTTTTGGATAAAGGTTTGGATTTATCGACACGTCCCCTAGACTTTAATGGTGAGTTCTAAAGAGAAGAAGAAAGTTATTTGAAAAGCTTATATAGAAGTATTAAATTGAGGCATTTTTTAGAAAACCATTTGTAACGGAACTCCCTGTACTCCGACCAAGTACCTTCCGTTGATGGACACTTCCTAGCCTGCGCCGAGGACCACAAGCACCACACCGGACACCACAGCCACCGCAGACTCCACAACCGCCGTAGCTTAACTGGAGTCTCGCTGTCTTCTGTCCACCCTGGATCAGCTTCTGTCCTCCAGGACCGTGTGGGGAAGACCTCTCCTCCAGGAGAGCGTATCAGGAACAAGCTCTTAAAAGAGCTAAGTGATTAAAGCTCAGGGGAGTATGCAGAGTATAGCAATCCCCAGTGTGAGTATAGCTGTCCCCTCCAATAACGAGACAAGACTACGTGGTGAGGGTCAAGAAGAACGGTTTTACTTGGCACCATAGGGCCTTCTTTTATGCAGGTTTTCTCTACATAGGACCACCCACAGGGTTTTGCAGAACAACCAATAAACACATAGTATACAGTACAAACACTCCCATCAATCACACACAAAATCCTACTTTTTACACATACACTGTAACTTTAAAAATATACATTCAATCTTCATAAATTACATATTCGAACTCAGCACACTTTAATTACAAACATATTCAAAATTCAGCCAATTCCATGCAGGGGTTAAAAAGTTAGGTGGACCGCTAGCACATTTTCCTGCCCAAAACAGTTCCATAGATTTGGGCTGTGCGGTCGGTCTATTTTACACAGAAAAATGACTAAGTCCCATTCGAATGCACGAACGGGGCCGTTCGTGCATTTAGCTTAGTATAGCAGTGAGTTCAAACTGCCGAACGGGACTTAGTCTCTGTAACTGAAAACAGAGTGTAGAAGAAGGTAAGGGTCAGCGGTGTTCGTTGAAATGTGTAGCCGATTTTAGTTCCATGGATTTGGCTACACATACCGCTGAACTCGTTCGAATGAACAAAGATGGCCACCACCACGTGTTCGTTTGTCGAATGGCGGCCACTTCGGCACTTCGGCTGCATCTGAAGTGCCAATTTAAAGCTGCAGCAAGAGTCTTTTAAAATCCAATCTGCTAAAATAGTCTTTAACAGGCAATATCTTCCAGGGGCATTGTTCACCAAAGTCATAATGTGCCCACAGACGGTTCTTAAAGGGCCATACACAGTCCAATAAAAGTCCATAAGCCCAATGCTGGTTTAAAAGGGTACAATCTCCCAGGGGCCATAGACGCAGCTACAATTACAATTGATTCTTGTGTTAAATGGATACTATAAGTGCCAGAAATACAAAGCTGTAATCCTGGCACTATAGCTCCCTCTGCCAAACCCCCACCCCTGAGTCAGTGAATAAAGGGTTGAAAACACTTTATTTAATTACCTTACCCCAGTACTGATGTCCCTCTGCACTTGGTCGTGGCTCTGCCTCCTCCTCCATCCCGCAACAAGCGGGCGCTAATGCGCATGCGCATGAGACCTCCCCATAGGAAAGCATTGAATCAAAAAATCTGACACTGGATGTCCTCATGCAAAGCGTCAGATACAGGACCAAAAGTCAGTTTGGATCCAGGAAGCACCTCCAGTGGCTGTCTGGGAGACAGCCACCAGAGGTAGACTTAGTGCTGTAATGTAAATAAAAGGGGCAATAGGGACATTGCACCTAGACCACTTCAAAGAGCTGAAGTAGTCTGTGTGCCTACAGTGTCCCTTTAATGGAAAATCCATTGCATTCTAATAATCTATACTATCCCTTAATATGATGCCTATGGGCACACAGTGACTATGTATTTTACAAACAGTACTATTCTATTTTAATTTATTTAAAATAACTAAGCACCATTCTGTTAACACCATCCAACAGTTCTGTGTCAAACCATTTTGAAAGAGTTTGACACAAACTAAGGGCTCCATAGGCTCCCACAACTGCCCACAGCTGTACACTTAAGCATTAGCAACGTAAAATTTCTCAGTATGTAGATTCCATTCATTGCAGAGTGTGTCTGCGAAAATCCTTTATAAGAAGTATTTGTCCGTTCGGAAGTATCTGTTAAACCATGTCGTTTTCTATAGGTAAATTTATTTACTATCACTAGGGAGACTACTAAGTAGACCTATTTATGCCTTCCGGCTCCATATTTTCATAGATATAAATAAGCAATTTCTTTCAAAAATCGATTATTCAATAATAGTGGTCCTCTGATATTTTTACATCTTCTTGTTTAAATGTAATTTTAGAAGGCTTAATTTTTTAATCCTTTTATTTTTTTTATTTTTTTAAATGATAATATATGATAACATATGATAATAAGAGCTACACCTTAATGTCTGGGGGGGATGGGGATTCTTACTCTTCTTACCCTTTTAGCAGGGCTGGTCTGACCCACTGGGATACCGGGAAATTCCCGGTCGGATGAGATCTACCTTTGGGCCGTTGCCCTGCTGCCTAGGCACACCGGCCCAGGGGGTGCACCACAGGGCACAATCGCCAGATGACCTGCAGGAGGGGAAGAGCTCCCCTCTTGCCAGTCACGGTATATAGCATGGCCAAGCCGTTGACCACAATAGAGGAGCTTCTGTTCCCCTGCCCACTACACTGAATGCCGAATGGCTTCCCGTCAGACCAGGGTGGGAAACAAAAGCTCATCTACCACAGTCCACGTCTCGGCCACGCTACTTGAAGGTACATGAGTGGTGTGTGAATGAGACACGTAGAGGGATTGTGGGAAAATGAGACACATGGAGGAGCTGGGAGCAAATGAGACACATGGAGGAGCTGGGGGGAATGAAAGACATGGAGGAGCTGGGAGGAGGAAATGGGACTCATTGAGGGGCTGGGAGGGGAAAATGGGACTCATTGAGGGGCTGGGAGGGGGAAATGGGACTCATTGAGGGGCTGGGAGGGGGAAATGGGACTCATTGAGGGGCTGGGAGGGGGAAATAGGACTCATTTCTATTGAAATCTGCACTGCTTGATAAATGGAAAAAAAGGACAGACACTGAAGTGCTTTAGAAGTCTAGATTGTCCCTTTACCTATGGAAGTGTTATTGACTAAGTTATAAAAAAAGCTATTCAATGATGCCTTGAATATTAAATTATTTATATATAACATACCATTCTTCCCAGAAAGATATTTAAATATTTAACAGTAATTACTGTTGGGAAAGCAAACCTCAGTGCTGTACCTTTTTAGTAGATAAGAGGTAGTTTAGATCCCCTGGATTTTTACTTTTTGATTTAGTATTTGATAAGACCGGCTTTGATGTTCTGAACATCGTATTAACAAACATCTGTAATAGGAATCCGAGATCATAGAAAGGTTTCTTTGTTTTCTGTTCATGCTTGAAAGGTGAAAAGCTTTGCGTTCAGTCCCCTAAATGATACAAAATTACATGTGACCCAGTTTACAATATCATTTTGGCCTTGAAGGTTACTGTTTGCTGATTGGCAGATTTTTACTTGACCTTTCGGAAATATTGACAATTACGAAGTATAGTATTTTGCTACTTGACCACTGTGTATAGTACCCTGAGGGACCCAGAGAGCAAAGTAATTTTAGAATGTCAGATGTACTATTTTGTTTTCCTTTTGTCTGTGCAAATAACTGCCAAGAGTCTGTGTTTATTCTAGTACATAGCTGGATCAGAGCAAATACCAGTAATATTGAAATTTTGTATGATTTCACCTGAGCTGGTTTTATTACATGAATATATAATACTGATTAAGGAGCAGCGTGCACAAAAAAATTAAATATAATTTAAAATTTTACAAGGCATTTAAAATCACTGATCTTAGCAAACAAATATAAGGATTCAGTTACACCATATGCCTAAAATGTGATAAGCCCACCACTACATCACAGAGCACCAATATTTGTGGAAGAAAAAATAATTCCGAACATGCTTATTGCCATACTTACTGCTTAAACTGCAGTAAGACACCCTCCTCAAGAAATGTTATGTTTTACTGCTGTCACCTCCAAAGGTGCACCCATAGTGGATAGGTGGGGTGCTCAGCCCATTAGGAATCTGGTCGGGATTCCAAATCTACACTGAAGCAAATGTGAATTGGAAGCACACCCAGGACATGCATTTCTAAGTGGAAAAAATATATACAGAATATAGATTAAGAAACAATGCACACAAAAAATACAGTTTTACATGTTGCAAGGCTATTTAAAATCACCTATTTTAGCAAACAAATATGGGGAATCACTTACATCATATTGCCATATATGTAACTAAATCCCCATATTTGTTTTGCTAAAATGGAGGGGGGGGGGGGTAGGAGATACATACCTGAACGACCCTACCTACTGCTGACTGCTGTCCTGATTCTGAATGACAGACACTCCAGCTACATGCTCATTTTAATTAGTGGAAGTGAGATGCAGAATGTACAGAATCTAGATTATGTTGGCAGTTAAAAGCACATTGGTTTATCTACCTTGTCTGTTATCCTATGTAAAACATTAATCTATCTTTCAGTAAAAAGATGTACACACTCAAAAAAATGTAATCTATGATATGTACTTGGTGCGGTCAGATCAATTCCATTTGTCTATCATCATTTTACAAAGTGGTGGCTTCACAAAATCCTATTGGTGCAGCACATCAACTGCAAAGCATGCCTTCTGTTAGAGTACTTTATTTTTAAGTCTTTAGAGACCAATGGCCAGCAATGCCACCATAACAATGTTCTGGAAGGCTCCTATTGCAAACAGGAATAAGAGGAGGGCTTTACAGAGATCGCAAAGTAAAATAAGACAGAATAATGTCTTTAAAGACCAGGTTGTCAGAATGGCAAAGAAACCTCTTATCCTTGAAAGGTTAAAAATGCTGTTCTTATTGAACTTGTCACGTTTGTAGCTGAACTACCCAAAAATGAATTACGGTATGTAGTGGCTTGGCACTATTTTTTATTTTTCCCTATTTTTCAGATTACTTTCCCTGGTCCTACATGTTAAATTGTGGATATGATGTCACTTTTCATTTCATAGTAACTTTCGGGAGCCTGGTAGTTTATTAAACGTGTTGTACAAGATGAGAACGCATTGGATTCTAGTGGTACTCATCTCCAGAGTTTATTCGGGGGATCTGTGCTAGAACAAGCTAATTTGAAGGACAAAATACCTTTGCTTGAAATTCTGAATGTGTATATATATGTATCTAGTTATTTATGTATTTATTTTTTCTTTCTTATAGGCCTCCTCCAGGATACGGATCATCCTTACAGCAAATATGAAAATGAATAAATAGAATGTTATCTACTCTGCCTCAATGTGCACTAAAGCATGAGCACGCATATATACATATGTTTTCACACCACATTTTGGATGTTATGAGACATTTTCATTCATTATTTTGTTGGAGAGGTTGTTTTGTGATTTTTTTTTTTTTTCTATTTGTATTGTATTTTTTTTTTAACCCTCGCTTTCATTTTAAACATTTCTCATATACCATAATGAATGAAAGAAAAAAAAATGGGGGTAAAACTCAGTGTTTGTTTTAGGTCTTTTAAAACTATATCTGTCATATAACAATGACATAATGGCACCTTATAGCTGATCTTATTACACATACGTTTTGTTAGCATGTGTTAAGAAAATACTGTTTTTTGGTAGATTTTAGATTAGTTATGCCATTATATTAGGATGTGTTTAAACCAACTCGCTCCTACGTTGTCTGCTGCTCAACCCAGTGTCATATAAATGCACTCCACTTTAAATGTAAGGTATATCTTTTCATTTATGCCTTTGTTAGTGATGCCAGCACACAATGTCTAAATTCTATTTTTTAATATACCTGGTTGGGGGTAAAAATGCTTTGTAAACTAAAATGTTGGCATTTTTGTTTTGCTTGATGATCACATCGTAGTGGTTATGGTTAAGTTACTGTTACATTGCAAAATTAAATATTTTTCTACTGACAAATTTCACATTATTCTTAGACTTGTGCATTCAGTTTCAACAGAACTGCAATGAGTATAAAGTTTGAACGACCGTGATTTGTCCAAATTCCTAAACTCCATAGCACCATGTGACAGAATCACAAAAAAAAACAAAATGGGCAAAGGCTAAACTGCTTAATTTGTTTTGTGATTTGGATCCTGATCACAGCACCAGAAAAAGCAGGAGGGGAATGGTAGAATAAGCTGTTTTTCCCCAAATATACTGATTTGGTTATTTTTGTGCCATTTTGCTTCATCCATATATTTTTTCCCGATTGCATATGAAATATGCCTGAAAAGAAACTCACAAGGACAAAAATCACTTTTTCTTTTTTGGACAAATCGATTCAGATAACTTTAAGCCGTGCACAAGTCTAATTATTCTTTTTTGTTTATTTTATATATATATATATATATATATATATATATATTTATTAACCTTTTTACTTTAAGAAGGGTAACAAACTAAAACCTAAGCACTTATCAGTATCAGTGTGCTCACATATTAGGGACTGTGGTATTGTATGGAACCCAGCTAAATACAGAAACCTACATACAACAATGGCCAAGGTCCGAAAGCCCTCTGTTCCCTATCATACACTATGAGGAACCATGGGTAGAAAGCCATATAAAACATTACATACAAGTATTTTACAGTACATTTAGAGGTGGGCCTCCAAACCTTTGGGCTTCATTACTGACGAGATCTATTAAATGCTTTCCGTATTTAAGCAGCATGTGAGAGATCAATGCATGAAAACACAGGTTTTCTGTAAGTGGAACTCAACAGTGTTAATTAAAGGACCACTATAGTGCCCTGAGGGGTCCCCCTCCCGCCGGGCTCTAGGGGGTAGAAGGGGTTAAACTTACCTCTTTCTCCAGCGCCGGGCGGGGCAAGAGCCGCGCATGCATTTAGCCAGTCTCATAGGAAAGCATTCACAATGCTTTCCTATGGACGCTGGCTTCTTCTCACTGTGATTTTCACAGAGAGAAGCGCCTCTAGCGGCTGTCAACGAGAGCCACTAGAGGCTGGATTAACCCTAATATAAACATAGCAGTTTCTGTGAAACTGCTATGTTTATAGAAAAAAGGGTTAAACCTAGCTGGACCTGGCACCCAGACCACTTCATTAAGCTGAAGTGGTCTGGGTGCCTATAGTGGTCCTTTAAAGGGGCAGTCTAAGCACCATAACCACTATATTTTCTTGTGGTGGTAGTAAGCTGTGTACGGTATACCTGGTTCAGGACTAAAGCATTCTTGAGCACCGTGACCAAATCCCGGGTCAGCTGACACACTCAGCTTACCACTGCCATACGCATTTTAAACAAAATTGCTTTGACCAAAAAGCAGGGAATACGGACTATTACCACCAGAGGTCATAGAGCTGAGACTGTCCATTTTGAAGAAATGTCTATAGATTCATCACAGAATAAACAGAACTTTTCATTGGAAACATTTCTCACACACTGGATATTTTCCATTTAGAATTCATATTTTGTAGGGTCATTTATATCATGTTACATACACGTTTTAGTTATCTTTTCGATGTTGCACGTGTTCGGTATGTTTCATATAATTTGAAACTTGACTGTTTAGTTGTTATGCAAACCTTATTTTTAGACATTAACTGCTTTCCTCTTTTGGTGTATATGTAAATATATTTTGGTGGTGGTGTTTTTGTTTTCTCTGTTATTATTAGATTAGTTGTTGGATGACTTTGCTAGTATTTGTCTCAAATAAGAATAATGAGGTCAGAATATTCAGTTTTTGCTTTTTCTGTTTTGTTAAACGTATATAACAGTTTGAATGTGGTCATAACTTTTAGAGGATCCAGCAATCAAGAAAGTAACTGTTCCTCTAAGAACCTTGCACAGAACTATACGAAATTTGAATTCTATTCCAAGCTATTCCCTGAAGTGAGAATTGTTTGGAGCTGAACGTGAATTCAACATGAATTTCAAATTGAATTGCAAAATAGACAGACTGAAAACATTCTCCAAGTCTGTCATGCTTCCAGCTAATCTATTTTGGCCTTAAATTTGAAATTCACTTTGAATGTGTGACAATTCTAACATTGGTGAATAACCATGAATGTGTTATCAGTGTTTCTTTACTTTTCAATTCATGTTTTCAACTCCCAATTGACTGACTTTTCTAGGTCCACAGATCATTCCTGAAGCTTCCAGATGTTCTGTACATCCTACTACGTAAAAAATAAAGTTAGCCTGTGATACTTTGTATTGTTTTTGCGTTACCAGAAATCTTGTTTCATTATAAATTTGGCATGGTGGCCTCATTGCTAAATAAAGAGAACAATTATCTCTTTCTAATTGTGCACTTGTTTTTATGTACAGAAAGTGTCAACTTCTTTCTAAGCCATATTGCTCTGAAAATTGAAATACCTGGATGGTTTTATCTGGTAATATATACAACTTTGTGGCCTGGAAATCTACTATATAGAAGGGTTCAGACTTTACGTGAAAATGTGTCTGTTATTAAAGCAGGGCTCAACAAATCCCAGGTCGCCATGGTGACTAGGAATTTTGTCCTGGCGCGTGGGATATGTCAACCCAAAGAGGCGAGGGAGAATACAGGCAGCCAGCCGGTGTTGTGGGAGAGCAGAGACCGGCCGGCGGCCTCTGTGTGGAATTGAGCCAGGCAGCGAGGGAACTGTCATCTCCCTGCTCTGCTCCCTCGGACGCCCTGCACTGATGCCGGAAGCTTGAATTTTACATCATTTCGGCCTCTGCATACTAAACCATGCGTGACGTGGGGCAGAGTATGAAGCTGACAGCAGCCCCACTGGACACCATGGAAAGCCTATCGACTCCAGCTCTTCAAAAGGTAGGGAGGCTGAGTGGATTTCAATTAAAATATATATTTTTTTAAATAAAACTTCTTGAGTGTGTGTGTGTTTGTCTGTGAGTGTGTGTGTGTGTGTGTGTGAGTGAATGTGTCTGTTTAGGTGACCGGTCCCTCTCTGAATGCATGAGAGAGGGGATTTTACTTACCTTTTTTTTCCCATGCTGTGATGATCTCGCCATGACTGGACCAACCTTGATGATCTCAACCAAAGCAAAGCCAATGCTCAGAGCTTCCAAGCCAATGGCTATTGCGAATGTACTGATCTGCATCTTTTCATAGAGATGCATTGAATCAATGCATCTCTATGGGGAGCTTTCAGCGTCTCTATGCCAATCGTGGAGACGGTGAACATAGGTGCTGCACACTGTACAGCACTGGACTAGCACACACTTGTAGTGGCTGTTTGAGTGACAGTAACTAGAGGTGTTTCTAGGCAGCAATATAAACACAGTCCTTTCTATGAAAAGTCAGTGTTTACATTGAAAATCCTGAAGGGACAGGCTATAGACACTACTAGAACCACTATATTAAGCTGCAGTGGTTCTGGTGACTATAGCCAAAAACAAATATGAATACCGCACTCAAAAAAGATGATTCTTGTGAAATCTAAACTGTATTGAATTGCAAGAATATTTATTATAATAGTAATTCATAGGTTAATCAAGTAAACCTTAGTGAAGTTCATTCCAATCATATATATACATCGATTATTTACATATATACACACAAAAAACCTCCCTGTGTTGAATTTCATGAACTATATATCTATATACATAGGTTGTGGATCCAAAAAATGCATGAAAATAAAATGTCCAGAAAAATATAGTAAAAAAGGAAAAAAGGCAGAAAAAAAGCAAAAAAGAAAAAGAAAAAATGAATGAAAAAAATGTATATATTTTCCAGTCCTATTGATAGTCCAAAATATAGTGCACTATATACTTCATATAATTCATAAATTTATAGATGGATCTCACGTGAACTTGATAGTATATTCAGTAAGAGGGTGGTAGATCTTGTAGATGATGTATATTGAATCAAAGTGAAGATGGGTGAAAATGAGTTGTAGCTCAATGAAAAAGTAATCACTCGTCCCTTTTGTAGTATCTGGTCAGTCTAGCAGGTCTTTTCCTGAGTTCGAAATCGTGGGCAGTCCTGTGAATCGGGCTGAAATGGGCTGCGCGCTCGGGACGTTCCTGTCCCTTCAAAGGCCCCTGTTCCTCTCCGTCCTGCCAAAGTATAAGCATATCACTTAAATATCCTCATTAGGCAGCAAAAAAATGCCGCGGCCACTCCTTGCTGTTACTTCCGCCTACTGATGTCAGCGTGCGTCGCTACGTCATACGCATTCAATTAAACTTTATTGTTCACATACATATTGTATAATGACAAAATTAAAGGGAAATCTCACATAGACATAAGTAACTATGTGATACATATGATTACAAAGGCAATGGAATTGTTCATGCAAACTAAATAGTGCTCGAATCTAAAGCAGTCTTAAACCTGAAAGACAAAATATACTCAAGAGAAAAGAAACAGAAAATAGTAGTTAAATATATTTAAAAACCTAACTAATGTGTGATTATTACATAGCTCACCTGCAACAGATGATCAAGAGAACAGGAATATCTGTAACTATAGATCAGTAGAATAGTCAGCTAAGAAAAAGAAAAAATAATAATAAAAGATGGATTGTCTATATCTATTGCAACAATAGAAAACAATGTTCAAAAGATTCCAAATAATAAGGAAAAAGAAAAGAGAAAAAAAGTACACAGAACAAACAATAAAAATGAAAAATGATATAGAAAAAATGTGTTAAATGAAAAATGATCCTCATTAAAAAGTTTTTTGTTGTAGCAAAATTTGAGAAAAATGGAAAGAAAATTGAAAAATAAAACTAAAAATACAGAGTATGCAACTCACCTGTCTCGTATTGCCCCACCGTGCCCCTGGGTCCCGTATGTGGGGAACCCTGTGCTGATGGCAGGTAGCGGACCCAAAGCGGTCAAAATGTTGGCAGGGAAGAACATCGGACCAAAACTGGTCAAGGGGAGCCTCTGTAAGGAGCAGAAAATCATAGAGCAGACAATAAATGCAAAAATGAAGAAAAAACTTCTCACAAGAAATGTTTAAGGTCATAATCTTCATTAAGCCCTAATGGTGACAAAGTCTCCAAGGTACTTATCCATTTTGTTTCTCTTTGTAATAAAAGTTTCTGTCTATCCCCTCCTCTGCGTAGAGGTGGAATTCTGTCCAAGACTTGAAACCTTAACTGGTTTACGTTATGACCATATGCTTTAAAATGTCTGGGTACCGGAGCCTCCACTTTATTGTGTTGTAATGCTGCCCTAATGCTCCTTTTGTGCTCCCCTATCCGCTCTTTCACTGGCCTGATGGTCTCCCCCACATACAGGAGTCCACAGGGACACTTGAGAGCATACACAACAAAGTCGGAGTTGCATGTAAAAAACTCTAAACTCTAAACATAAAATTTCTTACCTGATCTGGGATGTACAAAATATTCCCCCTTGATCACACTGTTACAGTGTGAGCAATTTAAACATGGAAAAGTGCCCTTCTTAGGTTCTGAAAAGAATCTAGTTTGTTTCTTCGAACTACCAATATCTGATCTTACTATCATATCCCTCAGGTTCGAGGCCCTCTGGTATGCAAAAGGGGAGACTGTTGGAATATCGGGGGTAATTGGGTATCCCCCTGAAACAGTTGCCAATGTTTTAATATAACATGCCTCATCTCCTTATTAAGTGGGGTATATGGTGTTACCAACGTAATCCTTTCCACTTTGTCTCTGGCCCCTGTACCTGAAAGGGTTTCTTGTCGAGAGAGATTATCAACCTTCTGTCGTTGATTGTCAACTACATGTGTGGGATAGCCCCGTTCTATGAATTTATTGGCCATAAAATCTAAACCCGTCATAACTTTATCTTCCTGTGATACAATCCTTTTTACCCTTAATAATTGACTAAATGGTAATCCATTCTTTAGATGGATAGGATGGAAGCTTGAGTAGGTCAATAAATTATTACGGTCAGTAGGTTTTATGTACAGATCACTGTGAAGACAATTTTGTACTCTCTGTACCTGAACGTCTAAAAAAGGGACTGTAGTAGTATCACAGCACATGGTAAATTTAATGTTTTCATCTTGTGTGTTTAGTGACTCAAAAAATTCCTGTAACTGGGCCCTAGTGCCGCTCCAACATATGAACACGTCATCTATGTATCTTTTCCAGACTAGGCATTTGGAAAATAAGGGATGTTCGTAGATGCATGTTTCCTCCATTCGATTCATATAAATGTTAGCATATGTTGGAGCGACATTCGAGCCCATAGCGGTACCCTTGATCTGTTTGTAATACTTATCACCAAACAGAAAGTAATTCTCAGTCAAAATGAAAGTAAGTAATTCCCTAATATATTTTCGGGTCTCTTCTTGTTGGATTAATCTCGGGTCTCTATCCAATGTCCAATCTACTGCCTCAATTCCTCTATTATGGTCAATTGAAGTGTATAATGACTGTACATCCATAGTTACCAACCAAAAATCTCCTGGTGGGATATGTATATCTGCTAGTAGTGTGAGGAATGTAGTAGTATCTTTGAGGTATGATTTCTGCATTGGGACATATTTGATCAAAAATTTATCCAGTATTTCTGCTGGATGTTGGAATATAGACCCAGTTCCACTGACTATTGGTCTGCCTGGTGGAAAAAGGGGATTCTTATGTATTTTGGGGAGGGTATAGAACACCGGAATTCTTGGGTATTTGAAGTTCATGTACTTATATTCTCCATCAGAGATAATATTTTTAGAAAGGGCCCATAAGTTCAGTTTATCTAGTGTGCGTTTCAGATTGTGTGTAGGGTCTTGACTGATAGGTAAGTAATTTGTGTTATCCAATAACTGGGTCTCAATTTCTTTTACATAATATGTACGATCCATAATCACCAGTGCTCCCCCTTTATCTGCCGGTTTGATAATGATGGATGTGTCTTTCTTTAAGTTATTGATATTCAACCAATCTTGTTTAGTAAAATTAATACTTTTTCCATGATAACTATGGGTGTATTGATGTTTTTTCCTAAGTTTACACATATCTTTCTTCACAAGATTGGTGAATAAATCAATGGATGTATTGATGTTATGTGGTGTGAAAGTGCTTTTAGGTTTCAAACCTGTATCCAGGGAGAGAATGGTGTATGGGTCAGACCCGGTAGCATAATGTCCCACAGCCTCCATATTTCCTTCATCCTGAGGATGTCCCTGTGTGGTCTGCATAGTATTGTCAGTAGATTCTGCTGTTATACCATAACTTTGCTGATCTGTTGAAAAGAATGCACGTAATTTAAGTTGGCGAAAAAATTTATACAAACTGACGTCATATTGATGCCACTCTATATGGGGTGTGGGAATGAAGGAGAGTCCCTTATTCAGGGTCCCCTCCTCCGTAGGTGTTA